AAATCAATTTATTCATTCTTCTCAAGATACATTTTGACCTTGTTAATTATTAGCTTATTAACATTGACTGGTTTTATGTAAGTTTGTGGTGTACATTTCTTATTTTACTAATCGCATGTCTGCAACTTATTTTTCGCCTGACTATAAATATCGATCCACGCTTGGTTAGATCAAGTTAGCTTATATGTCTTCTCCATTGCGCGTCATTTCGCTTCACTCCCTTCCCTTCACTTTCTTTGCTTCGTTTCTTCGATCGCTTGTCTGGATCAATGACTGTATGAAAAATATGTATTCGAAATTCATTCTCGTATTTGACTTATTTAATCTCATTATTCACCAACACGAGTTAAGTCGATATTTGTTTACGAGGATTGACGATATGTATATTTCGATAACAAGCAGCACATGATCTACCTGAAGTCAGATCTCGGATCACAAAAACCTGAGTAGATGAAATGTCATTTGAATTTGTATCCTATAGGTAGAAAGGCAAGTATTATAACTGGTAATTCATTTCACTCATTGTCGAATCCAGCCTTATATCAATTATTTTCTTGTCGCTAAATAAACTATCTTTACGTTCTATATGGTATGTTAGTTTAAATACTTAGATAGATCAGAAGGGGTTTTGTGGAGATCGTAGCAATTTCAACAGTTGAGATCATGAGTCGATTGAAGTTAAACCATCATGGAAAACCTGGATGCACTGGACGGTCGTTCCGTCCTATTGTGGGGCTACTCAGCAGTGCGTATCCACGATCCCACCTCCCGAAATTCAAACTCAGGACCTATCAGTCTCGCGTGGGAGCGCTTAACCTCTAGACCACTGAGCTGTCCGACATCCAATGGTGTCACTGTCTAACTTCAACTAATCCACGAAACTGAGTGACACATCCATCATTGTCTTCAGTGAGTTCCTATCTCACAACAGACCTGGTTGAACTCCACTGATCACTGCTTCTCACTAGGACTCCAGGATCGTGAATGCACACTGCTGAGGAGTCCCATACTAGGACGAAACGGCCATCCATTGCTTCCAGGTTTTCCATGGTGGTCTAGCTTCAATTGACTCATGATCTCAACTGTTGAACTTAGATAGATCATTTAAAGTTCTTAAATTATTCTAGGAAGCTATTAACTGAAATGATGTAAACATTACTTAACTTAGATAATTTATTCATTTAATAGTTATCAAAAGTTTGTTCAAATAATACTAACCGAATAAATGAAAACTCGAATTTTTTCGATAAAATATAAATTAAAATCTTTTATTTATCACGTGAAGAGTGTTTTATAATTTGCTTCTTCGTTTTTTTCCCCATACTCTTTCAAGGTTAACATCTATTGATTCTATTTCTTCATTGTAAATAAACAACAAAGTCACATTTATCAAACGATATACATATATCTATATCCATCATTTTTCCCCCCTCAGTATAGATGTGTATTGTATGAAGAAAATTATTTGGTTCTTTCCCAATTTCACTGTCCTTATTATATAGTAATATGTACTTCAATTTCAGTTGATACTTTACATCAACATCAAGTGATATAAATATGAAATTACTTTTCAAGCTAAAGAATTTGATATGAATCTACAGAAATGTTATTTAGTTTTAATTAAAGAAAATTTCTGTATCGAAAGTGATTTCTTCTATGAATGAAGGATTAATATGATAATAGATTGGGACACTAATTACAATAAAATTCATTAATTTGTGTAACATTTGAAAGATTAAAAAAAAAGTCAACATAAAAGACAAAAGAAATAAAAGATGAACTTCTAAGAATCTACATTTTATGAATCTTATTTTCGGTGATTTAGTAGTTTAGTTTAACAAGAAATGAATTATTCCCTAATGAAAACAAAAACGATCTTAATATTTTTAATTAAATTATTCATTTTTCATTAGTTGAATGATTCAGTATATTTAAACCTGTAGATTGCACATACTATCACCAAACAACTAATCTAAAATATCATGTTAACGACAAATTAAAGTACACAAATACTTCAGAAATGTTACTAGGAGTAAACAGGCATTCCCATTATATTTTGAACTCACATTCTAATTTATAAGTAAAGATGAATAGTGGCTAGCTGTGGAATCCAGGACGCGCGTTTCGTCCTATTTGGGACTCGTCAGCTGGATATACCGGCATCTCAGAGTTGATGTTCACTCTGAGACTCGAACACAATACTGTTCGTTTCAAACGCCATCGCTTTATCCACTTAACTACTAAGTCCTGACAGCCACCTACTTGTCCAATGGGGTGAAGTTTAATTCACTTGGTACTGTTTTACTTGAATCTCTCCCCTTTGATGTTTAGGACTGCAATGAGAAAATTCAAGCAAAACATTACCAAGTGAATCACATTTTAAGTAATTTCTCGGGTTAAATTAATCATGGATCGTATTTGAAAAAGTGATAAGAAATATTTTTACAAACATGTAGTGTTGTTATGCTGTCAGACTATAAATTACGCTCATATTTGTAAATGATTTACAAACTGATAAACTAAAATGAAGTAATAAATGCTTTAGGTTATGGACTAATGTCTACTGGTTTTTGATTTAATTGTCGAAAGTACTACGGTTGTCAAAACATCTAAAAGTCTTGAACTGGATAACCCAGATGTTTTTCAGGCTTAGTTTTAATAGCTATTTAGGGTCATATTTATATGTATTTCATTGTTCCCCTAACTGATATTAATCCATAATGAAGATTATCTACAGGTTGAATAATTTTTGTGAACCTACTATCTCATAGCCCGAACTGATTTATCGATTGCATTGCTATACTTGAAAATAACATAAAGTGATTAGTTCATTAATGGGAAACAAGATTATGAAACTGTAATTGTAGGAGCAATAAAAAATAAAGACAATGTATGTTTAGTGGTTTGATGAACATATAAAGTTTAATGCTTAATGATAAATGCTCTAAGTATGCATATTATTGTGTCTTTAAGTCCATCTAATTATCACGTGATTTCTTTGCCAATCGAAATACGACGTATACAAACTTAGTACTGAGCCAAACCAAAGACGTTCGACCGGTATGAGCAGCCTAGCGTCCCTAGTGGTCCTTTGTTCTCCTAGCCCCTCCGGTTCAGCCCAGAAATCCAATGACCCTTCCCACTATGCGAATCATTTATTTAAAACATACTTGGTTTATATACCGACCAAGCAAATCACACCGTAAAATAGGAAATAACATACAAATTCAAGTCAAAAAGTAGCTGTGAACGTAGGAGACAGTACTTAATAAACTGAGTATAGTTTAATAATGTTAAATCGTACCATAATAGTCTACAAGTCAAAATGAACATTACAATAAGAGGAATATAAATATGCATAATCTGGTTACTGAATAGTTATACAATAAGAATATATACATATATATAATATTAGTCTATTAATAGTTCTCAGACGTTACCTGCAATTTAATCTTCACTAGGATATAGCAAATATATATCTGTTAACATAACCCTCCTCATTAGATTTTAATGTAATCACAAGAAATATATTAGAAAAATAGTGGAATAATCAAATAAATTTCTAGAAGACTCACTTAAATTTCGTTGAACAAAGTCAATATTATGGATTTAGTTTGATAATGCAATCTATCAAGTAATTTCATAAATTTAAATTTAGTGTTAAAATTAAGGAACTAAACATTTTATTAAAAATTATTTAAAATATTTGCCTAAGATGTTCTGAACTAAATCAAATGTCTGAAGATAAAGTTTATCAAGTCTTGGATCTAACTACTGGACTAATCGACACTTGTCAGTAATATCGAGTCATACAGATTGGTGATCACATTGTTGTTTAATGTATTAAATTCAATCAACATTAAAAACATTAGACAACACTATATTAGTTATTACCAAACAATTTGTAGTTAATTCTCAACCACCATTGGCCTAGTGGTCTAGAGATTAAAAACTTGCGCGCGAAACCGAAGGTTCTGAGTTCAAGTTACACGAAATCTATTCATGGAATTGTAGGTATGCACTGTTGAGGAGTCCCGGTGTTTCCAAGTTTTCAATGGTGATCTAGCTTAGATCGACTCATGGATTCAACTATGAAAATTATTTCCTAATAGTTATTGAGAAATATTCTTAGTAAGTAAAATAAACATTATTAAATGAAATAATCAAGTATGTATAGATTGTTAAATTTATCCTAGAATAATTCAAACACTGACATACAGTTAAAACACATCTGTCTGGTAAAATACATTTTTATGCCTAATACTGTATGATTTTTATATTGTTTTGTTATAAGATGATGAAAATTTGAGTTGTAGTAATATAACTAGTTTACTTTAAAAAAATATTGACTTATTTGGTTGCAAAATTCAATACTCTTGTTGAATCAGTAACTGTATACTAATCCAGCTAGTTTTCTTTCTCGAATATTGTTTTTAAACAGTAATAAAAAGTGTGGTTAATTCATTTATTAATGGGGTATGATCACTAATACTGTTGTTTTCCTAGTTAAAGAAGGTAATAGATATCTGTTACTTTAACTTTGAAGTTAGTTTTCAGTATAAAGTCCTTCAATTCTTTATTGGCATATTACAAACTAACAATGAGTGTTGCTCTATGATTATATTCGAAATTTTTCTTAAGGAATCATTTACTGAGTACTTGAAGTTGGAAGTAAATAGATTACAATCTAATGGTTTATGAATAGCTCGTTTACCATGAAGTTATATAGTTGGTTTTTAAGTTCTGAATTAAACGTAATTTTCATACTACTGATGACTGTCAATGTACAATACAACAAAAAACTGGTAATTTTTCATGTTATACCTGATTATCTATGTATTCTATAGATTGTTAGTTTGGGACGAATTTAGATTATATGTTTGATTATGTATACTAACGACTGTCCACTTTACCGTTTATATCAAAACTAATTATTATTTTTTGAAATTGTCATTAGTGATATTTTCCATTATTTCTTGACTACTTTGGTTGTTCTTCAGAGTCCACCAGGACATCGTAAATCTAAAGCATCTCCCAGTATACGTGACACATCGAAAGAATCCACACAAGGTGTAAGTGGTGCAAAGAAACGCGACAAATCTGTTCGTGGTCGTAATGCTAAGGTAAACCAAAGTTATTTTCCTTTTAGATATTAATTATTTTATGATTTAACTAAATTAAGTTTTAAGACCTTGAGTTGCTATACAGTTCAATATTTAATAGTTGATTTCCAGGTTTTCTTTGATGGTCTAGCTTTAATTGACTCATGAGTTCAACTATTAAACTACTACAATCTCCACAAAACCCTCTTTCTGATAATAATTTAATATTTGTAAAGTCCTATTGAATCTAGCCACATTCTTTAAATTTCAATAGCTAAGTTTCAAAATCAAACTCCGATTTAAGAAAAATTACAACCTAACACTTTAACAGCAAATAACGAATTATGCTCCACTACACGATTTCTTTACACTTAAAATTTTTTCATCCTCTTAGAAGTAAATGCTTACATACTTCCTTATCACTTAAACATTAATAGACGAATAGAAAAATAGTAGGAAAGGTTCAATTGTGTTTTGTTCTCTTTTACGCTTCAAAAATACTTCAAAAACATTAAGGGAATTATAGTTAATAGTTGAAACAACCAAATGTAACACCTCTTGAAAATTAATTGCAGTGGCATATATATAGTCCTCCATATCTTAAATTATAGCATTGCTTTATATTCTCTATTCATTATTTTTAACCGTAATTTCTAAATTATATTCTTCATATTTTGTTTTTACTGATATTGTGCCTTGTGCCTGTGTTGCTTTCGTCCGTTTAATTTACTATCATGATGTTAACAAAGTGTTGATACTCATTTGTATTGGGTGTGGTATCGACTGCATAATCGGTTGATAAACTTGGTGTGGGTTAGTGAAAGCAATAAGTTATTGTCCACTGAGCGTGGACTGACAGACACTAGCTATTTAGTACATGATTTACTTCACATTATCAATTTCTACTGTGGATTCACGAAGCGTGAACTGCTCATAATGGTGTTGAATACAATATTTCATAGTTTGTACTACATTTTTTTGTTTGGTCGTGAATCTTGTTTCTGGTATAGGATGATTCAGTATGGGTGTAGTGTACCTATCGAGTATCCTGTCTTGTGGTAGTATAACCTCGGATACCGATCTTATTATTTTATCATCGTAGTATAGCGTGGATAAACAGAAAATATTTTCATTTTGGCGTTATATCAGAAATAAACATCAAGTATTGTAGACTTTTGTATACGACATATTTCAAATTAAACAAACTTGAACACAGGATAGTTCTATGTTTTTTCGAGAAGTCACTGTTTTTGGTTAATTCGTTAGTAATTCGTCAGCAACATTGAAACCTATTACCTTAAACTGAACTTTATTCCCTCTATGTTCTTATTGGTGATTTTAATTCATTTTAATTTTAATTATTCTGTTGACCGGATATATTTGCTGTTTGGAAAAATGTAAAAATTATGCTTTGTAAAGTACAATCAGCTGATCATAATACAATATTTTGTTAATGCTAAAATGAATAAGATAGGAGAATTTTATGTAAATAAGACAGAATTTAATATTTAGGTCGGCATGGTTTATAAAGATCCATCATTATTTTTACAATATCGCGTTCTGTGAGATAAATGGCTTGATTACAAAGCTTTTATTGTCGTAATGGACTATATTGTTAGCCTCTACTTCAGCTGTAAATGAGCTTATTAACTATTACATATATACTGAATTAGTCTGTTCTGACAGCCATTGTTTGCAGCTGGATATTTTTTCTGGTCTTGATATCTCTTTAAGTTCCAGTTGCTTGGTTTTTTAGGTTAAATTTTAAGCATATGATTAATCTAACAAAATTTCAGCAAGCTTTTTTCTTGAGATTTCTTAATGTGAAGGTTTTAGGAAATTAGATTTATTTTTTTCCATTTACAGACCGATATGTTGAGTTTAAACTTCATTGAAAGTGAACTTATAATTAATCTTGCATTATACAGCTTACATCACAAACTGATCTTATCCAGGTTACCATTGGAAACTAACAATCACTGGAAAGCTGTTTCATACAAGTATGTGACTCTTCAGCAGTTCATATCCACAACCTCATCGAGTGTTAGACTTAGGATCTCCAGGTTCCACAGAGACTTTGGACTACTGAAGTGGGATCCAAAGGTTTGCATGTCAGACTTCAATTATTATGCAGTACTGTTCGGCCATGACACCTGTCTCACGCTTGAAATAGTTGGACTTCACTGGTTAGAGCTTCTCACTAGAACTGCGGGAATCGCATTTCATATTAAGTTACTAGTAGGAAAATGATTATCATTTTTATATGGATATGCAGTGATTATTCAATTTTACAATTTGCATCATAAGTTGACTTTGGTCAACCACCGAAAACCACCCATGATTTACTCAACTGATCGTATCTTTTTTGACTACTTTCAATTCATAGTCAAAAATCTACAATCATTCAAAGTTGAATAAAGTACAGATTATTCATACATTTTTTGCACAGTTATTTCTACACAATAATTTAGAAAATAAAATCCACCTAAGTATCAAATTGCACTGACAATTAATAAGAATGAAAATTTATCCATATAAATACATTCAATTACTTATTTGTCACACATTTTATCAACCGCTATGAATGTCTATTTTGTCCACACATATTGTCATACTCAGAATTATTGATTTTTCTTATGTCCATACTAAAGAGTGAAAGTGTTCTCATGAAATCATATTCATCAATAATAATCTCAGAAATTAAAATAACTTAGATAAGCGCACAATATTGTTCTTAATTAGTTCTTCATCAGCCTTTTTATATATCTATATGAATCCTACTGTATATTAGAGTGAAGTCTGAAGAAGATCTCATTAAGAACAATATTGTCCGCTGATATATATTATCCCGCTTCACATCATGGACATTTTCAGTATTGTAAATATTAGAGATAGTTTTATATTTTAAAGGTCAATAGACAAATTACTCAAACGTTTTTAAAGGTGCGATCGATTAATTAATATTATAAGACAATTAAGAAAGTAGAATAAACCTTTCATATTGATTTAAAGTGTTGAGATCCACACGAAGCATGAATGACGAAAAAATATTTAGACAAACCGGTAAATATGTAAATTTAATATTTTTTAAAAATAAATTTATCAGTTTCGTTACAATTCATTCATTTTTAGAAGAGGTTTTGTGGAGATTTTAGCAAGTTCAGTAGTTGAAATCATGAGTCAATTGAAGCTAGACCACCATGAAAAACTGGATGCACTGGACGGCCGTCTCGTCCTAGTATGGGACTCCTCATCAGTGCGCATCCATTATAGCATTGAATAGATAAAATTCAGCTTAAAGATGTCTGTATATATATGGGGAGATGCTCAATTCTTCATTCTTGTTCTCTTCACGTTAATAAAGGAAACTAAGTGTATAAAATCTAAATATATTTATCAACTAATGATCATAAGTTTTATATAAATAAGTAATGTTCTATAAGATTGTAATCTGTTATGCATATTTATTTATTGTATGTTGTTTTTAATTTTATTTAAGGATATAGATAGTAGTAAGGACGATAAAAGTGGCGGGAAAGGAAAGAAAAGTGATAGTAGTAATTCACCTAAAAAAGGTAATTCAGTAGCACTTTTCCCACTTTTTAATCCTACATTAAATCTACCAGATAATCATTTTCAAAAATGATGGCGATGATTTACAGCTATGGCAGATACATTTTGTTGTTTCTGCTCTCCAACCTAGTTGGTTTAGTCGTTGTTGAAACATCTATGCCAGAGAATAAAAACAACAATCAAAAATTTAGTAACTGCTTGAGTGAGACTATAATTTATGGACGACCTTTGAGCGAACCTTAAGTGACCTTGAAAAATATTAGCTAATCAGCAAACAGTCAATATAGAATAAAAATATATTATACAAAACCAAAGAAATAAAATGGATACACTTCTTATACTTGGTTCAAAAACTCGTCGAGATTAGGAAGAGGTTCAGAGGTTTTAAAATCGTAATGTATGCAGTAGAAGAAATCATCCATACGGCTACAGAATAGTCGGCTTCTGGAGCGATGATAAAGTCTCAAAAACTCTTTCAGCCTCGACCACATAGCTTCAATATTGTTTGTGTGTACTCCGGTTGTTGAGTACATAAAATGCCACTTGTGGATAACTACACGATGCACATAACCGAGCCTATATAGGAGTCTGTACGCTCTGCAATCACCCGTATATATTGTAGCACGTGGCTGCAGCCAGTGCTACTGGTGCTTTTATTATCCAGTTCGCAATAATTGTCATAATTTGCCTTAGTTAGGAATTATACATAGGGTTTTTGTAAGGTCCCGATAAGCATAATGAATGGTAACTTTTGGGATCCATTTTTGGATCAATACTATGCGTATACTTTTATCGTATAATTGTTAACCAACTAAACCATCATATTCATATTCCTCTTATTATAAGCTTTATTTTGACCTATGAATTATTATTATACGTTTCACCATTCTTGAATTATGCTCTGTCTATTAATAACTACCTCCCTCATTCGCAACAACATCTGGTTAATTCTTGTACAAATGTTGTTTCATATTTTATAGTATGATGTGGGGTATATAAACTCCTATGTTTAAAATACATGATTCATATTGCAGTGGCTGAGATTGGTGTTCTGGACTCAACTGGCTGGGCCTGGCGGAAACAGGACCAGTCAGGACTCTAGACTGCTCGCACGTGTTTTATGCGTCATTGGCCCGATCGATAATTGACTGTTCTCTAATTGGCGGTATCGTTACGTTATGCATTAACAGGGCACACAGGTCACAAGTTATAACAGTTTTCATTACGAACTGACATCAACTATAATGTCAAAAATCTATTTAGCCAAAAAATGAAAGGCTTTCGCGCCAAAATCCGAGATCTGTTATCTTATACCTGATTGATTCGTCCACAAATTATACTCTCGCCGTTTTATACGTTATAGCCGCTCAATTATCACGTTTTGTACAAAATTCTTTGAAAATCGATCGTACGTTAGCATTAAGCACTGAAGTTGGCGCCATGACCTTGAAATGTCTTGAACGCTTCTGATTGGCTCGTCCATAAATTAAAGTCTCGCCGATTTAAGGTAAAATAATTTTCATTCAGTCATCAGTTACATTTACATTAAAAGATTATCATACGGTTTGTCAATCAGTGAAAAATCTTAAACAATATAAGAACTTGTACAGATATTAGATTAATCCAAGTAACCGCATATTGCATCAGTGCAGCAAAATAAATTAAGGAATTTGTTTTATTAGTGATACCAGTGGTTATAAATGATGTCATTAATAGGGTGCTTAGTTTGAAACAGACGGATAAAACAAGGGAAAAGTAGTAGGAAATATTACTAAGTGTATTCATTAGCATACAAACAATAAAACTACTTTATTTCTTTACAACTAATTGTCAATAAAATTCACAAGTCATTATAGAAGTGATCCTAATCATAAAGTTTTTACCTCAGAATACAACTAAGGTGAACAGTTCATATCTAATTAAATTAATAAATACTAATGGATATGTTGGGATTATTTCTTTGTAAAGAAATATGACTAAATTTGTAATCTGATTAAGATATGTACAAGAAAAGCTAGTCTAAGTGTATTATTCATCAATACTAATACATTGATACTCTTAAAACAATATTTCCTTCTATCAAAATTCCTTTTTGAAACTACATATGTAAATATAATCGATCATTATAAACTTATAACAACCAAATTTTATGAATAGAGAAACCTGTTTCATTTTTATCATTACTAAATTCTTTAATCCTATGTCAGTTTCTCTATAAATTATAAAAAGGTCGTGTAATTGTTTTGCCCTAACAACTATACTATTTACAATAAATTTGTCTAGCATTTTCTTTATCTCCTCTCCACCTCTGTACTTAACAAATATTTTATACCGTCAATTTATATACATATATGTACAAAGAGAACTGAGACAGTTTAGAAAAACATTATGTTTTGTATGCAAGTCATTAAATAAAAGGCGTAATATAAACTAATTCATCTAGACAAATACAATCAATACTGACAAAGAAATATACTTTAAATACAATTCAACTAGACTGTAGTAAAAGTAATTTATCAAGTAGAAATATTAATAGTTAAAATTACAGAATTACATCAGTTTAGATTTAAAAAATCGGAGTGTTCGAATCTCGCGAGGCGGGGTCGTGGGTGCACACTGCTGAGGAGTCCCATGATAGGACGAAACGGCCGTCCAGTGCTTCCAGGTTTTTCATAGTGGTCTAGCTTCAATTGACTCATGATCTTAACTATCGAAATGTTTAATATATATTCAAATGTCAAACTCTGTCATTGTAAAAGAATAATGGACAAAGTTGGGAGATGGTTTCAGTTGGTCGAATTTCAGCTTTATGTAATACAATTGGCCAGCAAAATGGAGTTAATAATTACATTTTAATCATAATTATAAGTGAATCCACTAAGTTTGGTTGTTTCAGTTCATTACTATCCAGTCATTCTCTCCATTTGCCTAATGTTCCTTGGTAAGAATAAGAATAAAATATTTGATGGTTAGTCTGACGAGGTTCAGGTGAAATAGAAGTACATTACATGTATGGAAAAAGTCCAGAGCAGTTGAATTTAACGAATACTTTGGCATGATTCGTCATTTCTTTCATGTTAATTAATTAATTATTCATAAAATTCCATATTTCCAAAAGAATGGTTATCCACAATTTGCTTACTTCACTGTGAATCAATCATTTTCCGCATCATACTTTATGTTCCATATCTTGAGGTTTGGTTATTTCTTCTTTTCTGAACCAATCTTGACTTTAATATTCCTTAATTTTCTTAAGTTTTCTTCGGATTTCCTTATTAAATTACTCTTATTCTTTCGCCTTTAGTTAGATCGACCCAATACAACTTTATAATTCACAAATTACAATCCATAATATAATTGAGTCGAAAAATTCCAAACTCTATGTCTGTTACGCGTAAAGTCGGTACCATAATCAGCAAAGAATTAAAAATTACAAAATCTTATTCATAATTGAATTGTTTGCTTGAAAGTACTTGACATCTTAAGAAAAAATATATAGTCTGGACAAATGATATTTTGTCATGTAAAACTTTCAGCTTTATTTTCTAGAGGATTCATAGAAACTGAAATTTTAGGCCAACTGATAAGTAGATTTTTGTTAGCATAGCGGAATGAAATATGACATTAGTGTAAACATTAACCTGTTGCTCAGCAGCATTCAGTTAAACATTTCACTTCTAAACACAAAGCTCTAAAATGTTATTCAGAATATGTCAACTTTGCGTTTCCTGATGGAAATCCTTATTATTGTCAAGTGCTTAATTTGAATCAGATAAATATGAGGTCTGATTTGAAAACTCTTTCACTTCTTCAATACGCACTATTTATAAGGTTATATTCAGTTATTAAATCAATTTTATTACATTTCTTAAAGATTATACAAAGTATTGAAAGGATTGAAAATTTTCAACATTACCGTTTGTGATTCGTTCTATTATTATGAAACTGAAAAACTCAACATTTTTCAACTATTAATATAAATAAGTCTTGTTGTAAACACTTATCATCATTACTATAAAGCGAGTTTTTGTAGATATTGTTGAATTTCATAGTTTACACTACGGACTCATCTTAGTTAGACGACTATTGAAAACCAGGGAACTTTGGATAGGTGGGAGTAGAGCAAATATAAGACAATACTGGGGGTCAAACTCAAGACCTGATTTCGCAGCAGGCAGTTAACATTTAAGCAACTAATCTGATATCCAATGATCTCAATGTTTAACGTTTGAATTATTATTAGCTGATTCAATCTATTTTAATATTAAAAGCATGATCATATGATTCATATTATTTATTTACGAATATCGAGTAAGTACTGTGAAAATGATTGTTATGTATATGGAGTATTGTTATGTAAAATGACTGTTTGTTCCTATTGTTTCTGTTAATATTTCTGTTTGAACATAAAACACTTTCTGAAAAACATAGCTTGATCATAAATATCTAACAAATATGAAATCCATACTGATTATTCATAAGTTCATCATGTTGATCTACATTTACCTACGAAATTCTTTCTATGCATTTTAACTATTTTCGTCTACACTATTGACCTATCATGAAGGTAATTTTATGGATACATTTGTAAAGAATAATAAATTTAACACAAAGATTAATACATTTGATGAGACAATAAACTTATTCTACCGATTGCCTCATATCATTAACGTTCGATATCAACACCGTTGGATACCGTCCCAGTGGCTTCGAGGTTAAGCGTTCGCGAGTGAGATAGAAGGTCATAGGTCCGAGCCCTGTGTGTGGGTTTGCGGGTGCGCACTGCTAAAGAGTTTTATACTAGAACGAAAGGACCGTCCACTGCTTCCACGTTTTCAATGGTGTCTGACAATTGATTGGCTCATGATCTCAATTAAAACTAACATTTTCATTGTTAAGTCAACGTTTCCATTCACATATACGCATACGAATATGAGATGATTTAGGTAAATTGTTTTCAAGAATAACCAATATCACGTATGCATAAGTTCATGAACACAAGTGTCACGATGCAGAATGGGTCTACAAAATTACTTCAGAATGCCTTTGAAAATATATCACTTTAATTACATTCACAAATTCTTCTCATTACTAGCAATCAAATTTTCCGTCATGTATATAACCGATTTTCTTATCATTTAGAAGCCATATTTTGTAAATGATAGTGTACATCATTACATAATACTTGAACGGTGGTTAGCGATGGAATCTAGGATGCTATTTCTGTCCTGGTTTGAATTCATCAGCTGTCTGTTGGTCAGATTAGTGGACATGAGGATTTATTAACTTAGTTGACATGTCATCGTATGAACTTACAGATAGTTTCTTAGAGTTTCAGCGAGATACAGGTCCATGCAACTGATGAACGTCAAACAATTGTCCTGGGTTCCACTACTACCTCTATAATACATATCCTAAAATGTAATGACGATCTACTTTACCTGTTATTAGAGTTACCTCATTCCTTAATTTTAACAATGTGATTTTACATATTTGTTTTATACATTTAAAAACTGATTAGTCACCTGAAAACTACGATGTGGTTCAAATCCCATAAATATTTACAGTTTCAAATTTGATCTAATCCTAAACTATATGAATTACAACTGAACTATTAAGCTTTCAAATATCTAACTAGATGTCATTTTAGGAATAACAAATTCAATTCATTCAAATCATAAAAAGTACGTATTTTAGATTCGTTGTCTTTGTCTTACCAACTACCTCTTCATCCTTTTATCCCAGTTTTTAAAATAATATTTAATCAAATAATTGAACATATACATTTTATTTGTAATAATAGAATTAAAATTTAATTTAGATGAAATGAGTATAGAAGAAAGTGAATCAGAGAATGAAATACAAGAGGAAAGTGGTATTGTGTCATTAGTTATAATAAGTGAGGAAAAAGCTGAATTTTCAATCACTTGCATGCAGTAGTATTCACTGGCATACACTTATTGATTATCAATATCGTCATATATTTGCATGAGATGACATTATTAAATTTGTGTGTATCCATGTTGTAAATCACTCATTCGAAAAATATCGTTGTATTTGATTATTATTATTATTATATTTGCCGATTATAGGCAGAAATAGAAGCGACTTTCATTCTAATCCTTGTTTTGTCATCAGATATCTGAAAATCCTTTTTCATCATACTGTTTCATCTAAATATGTTGGATATGATTAACATCTTAACATTATCAACGTGTCTCTATGTTTTGTGAGTCTAATATTCTAAGTTATTTGGTCAGCATTAATAAGCACCAAAAGTAGTTGTACTGTTGTCAACTGAAAATTTATACATACCCACTTACCTACATTCATACAAACATATATAAATATATACGCATACATAAAGACAGCATTCTTAGTATCGTGTATTAATAAATTATTGTTTTTGTAGAGGATGTCTATAATTTTAAAAAATTCTACAAATCTGAAATAAACTGTCATGAGATAAAACCTTAACTTGTAAACTAGTTTTATCTTTTGTTCACATCGCAATACATTTGACTTACACCAAGGTATTAAGCATTTAGATGCCGATTTCAGTTAATCTTATCATCTGTTGTTAGCAAATAAGATTCTTTTATAAGGGATTTATTTTATTCACATACATTGAATCACTTTCACTAGAGCTAATTTTGCAAGATGTTTGCATAAACGACTGTCATCAGCCGAAGAAGCACTATAAACCAGGAAGAACTGGATATTTGCTTCGTTTTCAACTACTTTCTCCAACCAACCCATCAAGGATCAGGCCGGAAACTTTTAAATGTAAAAATGAGCATAATATTTCTATTAACTCTGAATCCGATGATCCAGTTTTACAACTCAATTCATATCGTGATGTAGCTCAAATAACATCCGATGTCATCGATGATAACTGTTTCACCTTTAAAAATAACCGAACTGCACAGGTTCTAACTCACTAAAACAACTATCGAGTCCCACTTGTTTTTCAGTGATATTTGAAGTAAAACCAATTCAAGATAATTTAACAAAAATATCATTCTCTGCAACCAACCAACTAAACTTGAAACTCATTCCATAGATTAAAGGTGGTGAGTGGAGATAGTCGATAGGAAACTCTGGAATTAGGTTTCACGTTATTTGGTATTCGTCAGCAAGGTGTAATCTTGAATTAACTGATGCTACCTGATGGATTCGATCCCATGTCACCCAGCTTCACAGTCAGAGACGTTACCACTAATCTGTTCCGGCCGTAATTGATCTCCTGTAGGACTGAGATGTAATTACAGTTGATTGATCACTGAGTAGTGACCAATGTCAAGTGTATCAGGTCTTTCTTGGTTCAGACTGAACTCTATCGATTAAATTGCAATACTGACTACCTCCAACCACCACCTTACATCTCAAAATAGTGCACACGATGTCGCGTCATCTAGACTAGTGGCCACACTGCAACTTGGTCGATGGAATTCGATCTGCAATAAGATAGACCTGATACACGTGAGATTGGTCACTACCCAGAGACCAACGAATTGTAAATAGATTACTTAGATTTTATGAATCTAATTTAGATCGGAACCGAATATGTTCTAAAATGCATTACTTAATCAACCCGTAGGCTAAATAAACTTACAAAAATGATTGCTAAACTTCGAAGTAAAAAAATATATCCATTTAGTTGTATAACGCTTATCATATATTGAAATCATGATTATATAATGCATTAATTAAAAAAACTTTAGTTTCAACATTAATTTCAAGGTTTTTGATAAAACTTTGTTCATTCTACGCATGAGTGATCAAAGGGTCATTTTAACTAAGAGGTAGTTTAGGCATCCTAATCAATACACCATACATCCTAATCATTATTTCACGTGATAATCAACTTTCAATGATCAACGTTCAGTTTGAGATCAAATAACTAGGTATGAAGAATTGCTATAAAATTTTTCCGTGTTGTAATAGATACGAATGTAATTAGCATGAAATCAAGGTTCATTGTTTTCTTCTGGTTGGCTTTCTCTATTCTAATACCCTACTGTAATCAAATTAACCCAATTCAATCAGAACTAAGTAACTTACAAAATTATTTGGTGTGTGGACATCTCATTTTTACAGATAGTTAACCGTAGCCAAGATAGATAAATAATAACATCTGTAAATATAAAACTGGATAACACAGTTTCGAATCTCACGAGAAAAGCCATTTTTTATGGTTGGAGACAGATTTTGCAAGCTAGTGTCTTTTAAAATGAAATCTTGGTTTTGAAGACTAGTATACCGTATAAACAGTAGTACGTAGTAAGCTTAGTTTTTTATTGCTTTATTTCGGTAATTTTCAAGTGGTTTTTCACGATTCCCATGTCTAGCATGCACCATCTTGCTTTAAATGAGTAAGCATGTATTTCATTTTATTGAGTGTTTACTTATTCATCTATGTTTTCATTCAAATTCACATTTGTTTGAAATAAATATGACTAATAATAGTATCAATACTACTATCGTTGTTTACTTTATTATTTATGGTTATTTTTCTTATCTAGCTAACCAAGAACAAAGTAGATCTAGTGGAAAGAGCAAAACAGGAAGAAATACACGAAGTGCTAAACAAACATCAGATACAGAAAGACTCGAGGTAAGTAGATAAAGATAAATGGAATTGTGATACTTATGTTAAAATTGAATAATAGCTAGGAAGTAAATTCAGGATCTATATTTCGTCCTATTTGAGATTGATTAATTGGATGTACACAGATTCCACTGGTGATGTTTACAATCATGTTTGAACTTAATACCTGTCATATCAAACGCCGACGCATCATCTACTAAGCTAATGATTCAACATTGCTAATAAAGTCTGATCAATTTCGGTCTTTAACATTTACTACGGAGAAATATATATTTCAACAAATTTGATGCTTTGTGTTTAGAACTTTCAGTCTGCTAGTAGGTTTTGTAACATTTTTGAACATGAACATAGCGAACATTTCAATCCATATATGATACTTAACTTCTACGACATTTCATTCAGCGATTTATCGTCAGAAATTTAAACTAACCATGAAATAAAATGTTTGTAGAACACAATGAATCCATTGTATTTTGTTGCTTTCTCTTCAGCTACAAACAAGTTATTAATTTTAACTAGTTAAGAAATACTCCTGTACTTGTAAATTAAAAAATAAATTCTCTAATAGAGAACAGAAATTGTTTACATGGTATTTTATTTTGGTATATATATAACCTGTCTATATAGTCTTACCGAAAATGATAAACTTACCAAATGAACCAAACTTCACTAAGTCTGTTTATATCACTTAATCATTCTAGAAATGAATGTTTCATGAGAGTTATTATACAACATAGTCTGTTGTTTATAATATCCATTTTAAATAGTCCTTATGTGTAGGTACTACTTAGCACTGCTGACGAGTCTTTCAATTACTTGCTGTTTTAACTATATTAGTTAGCCGATTGCTCTGAGTTTCGTCTAGTGATGCGCATAAGGTTTATGTACTTCAACGTAAACAAGTGATTTCACAGAATTAAAGTCACTTTTTTGAATAGCTTGGTGTATATAGTGGTTAATGCTTTAAATATATCAAGATTTCACAAGTTACCAAAAAATATAATCTGCTTCAGTTTGTATTTGTGCATTGATAAAACAGTACATAGGGGTGATTTCTTAAGTTTAAAGGAAATAGAGGCTATTGATCCTGTGTATATTGAAGGCCAAAATGTCATAATCACATGTCTAAATGATTACGAAATAAAAATGTTATCGGTATAACTTAAATAGACTACGATTCAAAAGTGCTGTGTTGAATAATATTTACCCTAAATTCTGATCTATCAACTCATATACAGTTTCGGATACCTCTGAATGATGAGAGAGGAAGTTATTAACAAACGTAAGTCCAAGAGTGAATAATTCAGGACAGTGATATTGCGTGCTTATCTTCTGAATCTCAAACCAATGGGACAATAAAAGTATTCTGATTACATGATTTATATATCATCAGATGGATTCCGTACAGAATAAAGAATATACACTATTTGGTAAAATTAAACATGATAAAACTCTAAATCCACTTGGTGTTGTTTCACTTGTATCTTCTCATTGATTTTTAAGATTGCAATTGACCAGTCTCATGTTGGTATATGTGCATACTGAGCAGATTGCCTCAATATAGCCTTAAGTAACAAGGTTTTTGTTGTAACGGGTGGGACTGCAGGGTTTGATACGCAGCGTTTATTTATCGATTCAATGGACAGTGACACGTAAACACGTAAGGACGACCTAGTGCCCTGATTGGCCCTGCTTCGCTGTCTGCCCTAGCCAGTTGAGTCAAGAACACAAGTCACAGCCTCTGAGTTATGAATCATTATATTTCAAACATACTTTGTTTATATACTAGTCAAGCAGACCACAACGTACCACAAAGTAGAAAATAACATTGTGCAATATTGGCCAACAGGAAAATAACACGTTAAATAAATATCGACCAATGGGAGATGTACATTTAAGGTCCAAGGACACCATTGGACTTAACATGATAATTATTGGTCTATTTTTCCGACTACCTAACAGTTTTTAACTTCATATCGAGGCAATCCGCACAAGATGCACATATGCCGACATGAGACTGATCAATCGCAGTCCTAAATAACAATGAGAAGACACAAGTAAAACAACACCAAGTGAATTTAAACTTCACCCCATTGCACAAGCAAGTGGCTATCAAGACTCAGTAGCTAAGTGGATAAAGCGATGGCGTTTGCAGCGGACGGAACTGGGTTCGAATATCAGAGTGGACATTAACTCTGGGATGCAGGTACATCCATCTGACGAGTCCCAAGTAGGTCGAAACGTGCCTCCTGGATTTCACTGCTAGCCACCTCTGCTCAAGGATGATAAAACTGTTTGATGCTTTCTGATTCTTAGATGTTGATACACCTTGTATTTGAAAGCTTGAGCACCATCTTTCTCATTACTTTTCACTCCATAGAAATCTTCTACTTATGAACTGTAAACAGAAAATATTTATAAGATTAAATGAGATCATGATACTTGAAAAGCTTTTAGAAAACATGCTATGACTTAGAAATTGTTCAATCAAGACACAGAAAACATAGTCCATTTTTTCTAATAATTCTCTTGAAAATTTCTAAAATCAATTGTTGATAGAAGTATTTTCAATGAATCTAGTTTCTAAAAGATTTTTTGGTAAGACTATAATTTATGGACGACCTTTGAGCCATAATTATTTGACTGTGAATGTTCACCTGTTTACTAGAGCCAAAGGAGGGTTATAAAGAATAAAAATTATGATTTACAGTTGACGGTTAGGGTAAGGAATTAGATTTCGGGTTTTCATCACGAACTGACATCAGGTAAAATGACAAGACGCTATTTAATCGAATGGATGAGTAAATTTCGCGCTAAAATCCAAGACCTCCCATCATAAATCTGATTGGTTCGCCCATAAATTATAGTCTCACTGACGTTTTTTCCGGAAATTATCAAGGACGCTTGTTAAAAACTGCTTGATATATTTTAACACATAAACATTGTTTAAATAATACTAGAGTGATTTTTTTCAACATATGTTTTGCAGTTTAATAGTTGAATTCATGGGTCAATTTAAGCTTAACCATCATGGAAAACCTGAAAGCACTGGACAGCCTTTTCGTCCTATTGCGGGACTCCTCAGTAGTGCGCATCCAAGATCCCGCCTCGCAAGATCCGAACCCAGGACCTATCGGTCTCGCGTGCGAACGCTTAACATCTAGAACACCGAGCTGGTCGACATCCAATGGTGTCAATGTCTTACTTCAACTAATCCTTGAAATTGTGCCACCGTCCACCATTGTCATCAGTGAGCTACTATCTCACAACAGATCTAGTTGAACTCCACTGGTCACTGCTTCTCACTAGAACTCCAGGAATTACCTCTTAGAGACAGTCACTAGTAGGCATATAATGATTATACTAGGATGAAACGGCCATCCATTGCTTCCAGGTTTTTCATGGTGGTCTAACTTCAATTGACTCATGAATTCAACTATTACATTACTACAATCTCCACAAAACCTTTATCTGATTATATATATATATATATTTTTGTATTTTAACAATTAAATATTCAACTACTTATTTATAGTAACCCAAATAAAAATTCTGATGAAAATTTCTTAAAATTCATTAGTAGAATTAGCAAATCCAAAGTTCATTACTGAATAAGAAATGAATATTTTGCGTGATAAAACGAAATTAACATTTTAATTTATGTTTTATTCCTGTTATTTCTTTTTAATAATTTTTCTTTTTTGACATTTTGAAAGAAATTTAAGTAATTTAAGGTAATATATATTTTAATTTTAATGTTTGGACAGTCATTGATTGAAAAATTTAATAGAAGAATTAGTACATTTAAACAAACTCTGTTATGTGGTGAAACAATCCATCGGAAATTTTTATTTAAACTATTTAAATTTATAAAGAAATATGGATAGTGGCTAGCAGTAGAATCCAGGACTCACACTTCATCCTATTTGGGACTTGTCAGCTGGATGTACCTGCATCTCAGAGTTAATCTTCATTTACCATTCACTTTACGTTATCCACTTAGCCACTATCCATCTTTGCTTATAATGCTTGTGAATAAAGGCAATATCGAGGCAATGTGCACAGTATATACATATGCCAATAAGTGACTGATCAACTGTAGTGCTAAACATCAATGGGTAGATTGAAGTAAAGTATACCAAGTGAATTTATTGAACCTGGAAGCACTGGACGGCCGTTTCGTCCTATTGTTTTTTTAATTAATACTTATGGTTTACTTTCTAATAATTATTTACGCACTACAAAACTGTATTCGTCTTCTCCTTTGTTTCTTTCTCTTACATACACGTTCTTATTATTATGACATAACTGTAGAAAACATCCAATGACTGTTAGACCTATGGTTTAAATAATTTGGAAATCAACTTAATAATAGAGATATTAATCAATGTTTTATGATCTTACTTTCTCTTATGATATCGTTTTTCATCCGTTACTCTTATACTAATCAGTCTATAAAATTAATTTATTTGTAACAATTATCGGATAAGAATCATAAAATCGTCAGACTACTTTTATTGACGTAAATCTTGTCCATATTCATCGATAAAATGATACTTAGACTAGAGGGGAAGAATGAACAGTCATGATCAAGTGTACAGGAATAATAAATAACACTAGAATACAAGATTTGACATTATATGAGCTGTACTGGCAAACAAAGGCGGCATAGATTAGTAGTAACTTACGTCAGATAATTTCTTTGAAACAACCTGTAACCTGTGAGAGATTTGATATCTATCCGAAATTAAATGTTGTAGACAAATATAAAAATGGATTCATTTTTCAAACTGTAATCAAGAATTTGTTAGTTTCCTAGTATAACATAAAGTAATATCGTTATTACTTGTTATGAATTTCCAAACATACTTGTAACTGTGTATAGGCCTTATATCTTATGCCATACTTTACAAAAATAAGACCTTAATGGATCGTATATAGATTTCGTAGTAAATATTTATTACTTTAACTGCTTGTGTAAAGAAAAAAGATCAAAGGACTTTTTATAATACATTGACTGCTAAAGTAGAAACCTGGATATCTTTTAAATAATAATAATGGTAAGCCATAAATGTTTGTACTTTTAAAAAAATATATCTAAATGAGTGTTATTAATAGATCTGTATTTTTGTGAGTAAAATTCCTATTAAACGTAACATTCATGAACACAATTACCAATATTTTTCGCATAATGATACTAAATGATACATGCAATAAGTATTAATGAATGAAATAACACTTTGAATAAATAGAAAACGATAATTGTTTTGTTTAAAGGGTCATAAATAGTTGGTGTGTCAACCGCATGTTTATAAAATCAACCAAGAAAGAACATTTCATCAAAATAAATTATTCAATATACATAATTACACAATAATACAGTAATAATATTTGTTCTGTGTAAGTATTTAAAATATTATTCTTGTTAATACTAAGAACCGCAAATGGTCAGTGTTTTTCTCGCCGTAACTCCAAACTGAGCAGATCACCTCAACAGTGCTATCAAATCACAAGTTCTTAAGTAAAGAGATAGATCATTTTCAGTCCTTAAGATTAAAAACGGGGAAATTTAAACCCTTACAGATAAAGTAAAATTCATTCCCATTGCAAAAACTAGTGGTTATCTTGACTCAGTAGGTAAGTGGATAACGTCCTGAGTGCTTGAAGAGAAATGTACTCTGGTGTGAATGTCAACACTGGGATACAGTAAATCCATATGATAACTGCCAAACTGGACAAAATGTGCATCCTAGATTCACCTATTAGTAACTACCCAACTTTATTTAATGACATTTATCGCCTAACAAATTAGAAATAATTACATTATTTTTACTACATATTTACATGTTGTTGGACATTAACACCGTTGGATGCCGGCTCAGTGGTCAAATAGGTTAGGCGTTCGCATGCGAGACTGGAGGCCATGGGTTCGAATCCCGCGAGTGTGATCGTGGGTGCGCACTGCTGAGAAGTCCCGCAATAGGACGAAACGGCTGTCCAGTATTCCCAGGTTTTCAATGGTGGTCTAACATCAATCGGTTCAAGATCTCAGTCAGTAAGTCAATAATATCCACAATTCTATACTTATAGAAAAATGATTGGTCATAGTATTAGAAAATAATTATGTTTTAATTAGTTTCACTCTTCTTTTGATGACAGAAAAATAAGCAATTTTGAAATGAGAAAGTTTTGTAGCTTAGGTATATTGTTGATACAGCTAGTTCAACTGACAGGAATGATTTAATTAAGAAACTTTGATTGTTAGTCTAAACAGCATTACCAGGACCTGCTTCAAGTGAAAATAACTTTTATCAAATTCATCTCGTAAGTGCTATAAAAATTGTTTATTATAAGTTCATGTATGACTGGTTGTCATTTTCACCTGTTTCTACTATCTTATTTAATTATTCTATAGGCTGCTTTTAGACTGTATTGATTTAACCTGTTTGTATAAGCTAAAATGCTATTTCTATTTTGATATATCATTTATTATTAAGTCGACCTAAATATATTGCTTCTTTAAATTCTGTAAGATTTTTGGACTTATTTTAGTTACAATGTTAGCGTTTTACTAATCGAATTTGTATCCGTACTTTTTATGGGAAACAAACGATTTATAAATGCTGGAAATACTGTGACATTCATTCATATAGCCCATACTACATCTGAGACTGATGAGTACATTTGTTTAAATTAAAAGCACATAAGTACGAATCCCTTAGACTGATAATATACGTTGTCTAGCTCAACACTTATATATCTGTTTTTGTCTTTCAACATATTGTACATTTACGTATAATTTTATTTAAAATTTTAGTCCAGTCCCGAAACGAATGAATTAATAAATCCAATTCTGGATAAAGCTATCTACGTTGAACCATATGGATTATTGATTGTTGGCAATTTTATGCTAGCGTTCTTGAATTTATCACGTAAGCCATCATAAATGTATAAATTTTTATTACAAATCATAGAAATCATCAAAGAGTTTCATTAAATTGGTTCAAAGTGATCCCCCCCCCACACATACCACACAAAACAACAACCATATTTTTTAGTAGGGATTTCGACAGTACTTCAGTCATCTCTTGTTGTGAAGCTCTTCAGCATAAATCAAACAAAAGATCTTGAGTTCTTTCCCACTTGTAAGTAACAATGATATCAATCAGTGTGTTAATTTGTCTTACTACAATCACTATAACTTTCTATGTAGAAAAAAAACATACAATGAAATAACTACAATATTTGATTTATAAAAAATTCATTATATTTTCCAAAATATAAATGGTAGTTCTAATTTATTCCAGTGTACTTTATATTGTATCCATTACAAAAGCCATTATTTGTTTTACCAGAATGTTAACCTTCTATCTATATAGAAAACCATCTACAAGCTACCTGTATATATAGTTTGTCACTGTATGTATTAACTAATTATACTAATACAATATAATTTTTTAATAGGATATATTTTGTAGGCAAATAATTAAATATAATGAGAATTTCTGGTATCAATTTACATATTATTATGGTTCATAGTTTTTCATAGTTACTATCATAAGCAAAATACTGTTACTTCTGTTTTGTTGTTTTTGACAAAATATCTTATAACTGAACTATGTCATAGATTATTTTAAATGTTTATATGGAAAGAGAAATAAACTTTTTGATTAGAATTTATACGCCTATATGTGGGACTGCCAAATAAAAGGGAAACTTAAAAATAAAGCTATTAATCGTCTATTTATCGATTGTAAAGTATATTTTGGTTCTATGAAATAGTATTACCTTTAAATGAGATTCGAGGTGATGTTTTTTTAGTAAATACTATCGTGGAATAAAGTGTAGATCTAGAACTTTCCACTTGTGATTGTTATTACTTGTGGCCTGAGCGCACTGTTAATGTATAATGTAACGATACCGCCAATTAAAGAGCAGTAAATTATCAATCGGACCAGTGACGCATAAAACCCGTACGAGCAGTCTATAATACTTAGCGGTCCTGCTTCTTGCCTAGCCCAGTCAGTTAAATCCAGAACACAAACCTCAGCCTCTGGGATATGAATTGTTTATTTCAAACATACTGAGTTTACATACCAACCAGACGGACCATATCGTACCATAAAATAGGAAACATTTGTACAAGAATTAGCCAAATGTGACTGTGAATGTGGGAGATAGTAATTAATAGACAGGGCATAATTCAAGAATGGTGAATCGTGTAATATTAGTCCATAGGTCAAAATAGAGCTCATAATAAGAGAGACATGAATATGATGGTTTAGTTAGTTAACAATTATACGATAAAAATATACGTATAGTATTGATCCATACATGGATCCCAAAAATCACCATTCATTATGATTATCGGGACATAACACTGATAAATTGAGTTGTTTTAAAATTATTCCAATGCTTCACTCACCTCATTATTTTCATCTTTTGTTAAGCATATTTATTTGTTAAAGTGTTTGTATTTTCATTAGATCAAGGAAGATTGGGAATTTTTCAGTACTGTCTGAGATATCTAATTGACTGAATAAATAGTTAATTACTTATTTAACCATCTTTTTCATACTTAAATTATGATTATTTTGTTATTACGCTATTTCCTGGTCATCATTGATTTACCTTGAGTTGAATTCATTCTATTCACTAAATGTTTATGATACTTTAAGTTACTACTTTGTATTTACATTTCATATAAATACAGAATATCAGTAAGATTAAACTAATCAAATATTACTTATTCAAAGTGTCGAACTAAGGTTGTTTTACTTATGACTTGAACCTTTCATATATGTATATGGATATCTTAGCATTCTGTTTAAACTGAAGAGCTAATTTTAAAAGTAACTAAGAAAGCATTTTAGTAGAGTTTTAAATTAACAAAATGGGACTAATACAAATCTATAGTAAACTAGTATTAGAAGTCCCCTGAGACGTTAAATGTAAACTTATTACTATTTATTAAAGTCTGAAGACATTATGAAAATGGATTGTATAGTTATGTATGTTTTATTAAAATTATCAATTGCTCATAAGTAGAACAGATAAATACGGTTATTTCATACTTGAATACATCAATAATGTCTGCATAACTATAAATATGACATATACTCAATTTAAGCAATTAATAAGTAGTATCGTATATTGAGTCTATTGAAATTTACTAATACATGAACTCTTGATTTAGTATGCACATGAGTAATTAGTCATTATTTAAATTTATCTCCATTTAGCTGAATATTTTCGCCGTTTCTATGTATTTCTATATACATAATATAATCTAATCGAAATTGATAAAAAAATGCCTGTCAATGTTACAATACATTGGCAATTTATAAAACTACAAGGTAATAGTAGGGCGGTAAAAATAAACGTCAATTAAATCGATAAAGTTAATTAGTTTTATTGACAAACAGATAATACATTTTTCCGTTCTTGAAATCATGTTTTTTATGGTCTATTTATTTATTGCTTGAGTTCATGAGTCAATTGAAGCTAGACCACCATGGAAAACCTGAAAACACTGGACGGCCGATTCGTTCTAGTATGGAACTTCTCAACAGTGCTCATCCATGATCTCGCCTCGTGGGATTGGAACCCAGGACCTATCGGTCTCATGCTTAACTTCTTTTTATTTGTTGAAATAAAGTTGTATTTTATAGTACGTTTGAGCGTTTAAAAATATTTCCAAAAATGTACGCTTACTTTCCACTGAATAATTAATTTTATTCCATCTTTTGCTTTTACTGGATCACTTACTTGACATACCGCCTTCAAAGTAGACTGTAACCTTATTCTTGTTGTGTTAATGTCAAAAAACTTAAATATTAAACGTGAAAAACGATTTGTTACACTTTCAGAGTCATATTACTTTAATAATAACCGCCACCATACGTTTTATACAAGAAAAGTAAATTGATTTCTAATTCACAAAGTAATTTAATTCAATATATAACTCCCTTAATAATAATAATAATCCTTTTCTAATTCTGTTTGTTATACAACAATCATAGTTTCTCTCACTGCAACAAAATGTAATACTTTAAGTGTAATTTATTATTATTATTTTTGTACAAATTCTCAAAAACCACAAAAATCATTATTATAATCTTTCCAAAAAATTGTTTTAACATACCAGGCAATTCAATTGGTATTAACGGTCTGAAGGCCTTATTAGAGGCAATTACATATCAAGTGAATTTATTAAATGTTGAAAATGCAACAACAAACTTGGGCACAGGAATTTTAACTTTGTTATTTGATGTAAGTAAACAGATAGTTCTTTCTAGTTGTTTAGTGTTTTTTTGTTTCTTTTTATTTCACCGGGTGGATATACAAGTTGATAGTAAGTATACAATTATTTCTTGAATTGAATAGTTAGAAAAAATACTTTTTACTCTGTGTTCTATTTATGTTTATCAATTTAAATATGCTCTGAAGTTCATTTTCCGACTTACGTTGTCTGGCAGTATCAAATATTTAATTGAAGAAATATTATAATATCCATATTTGTTGAAACTGAATATCCCGGTTAGTAATTGTTCATTTATAGGTTGAACTACATTCACAATATTTAATGTTTAGAATCTTCTTAATTCAGTGACCTTCATTAGCCGTATCTCATAATCATTAGAGAATAGATAAGACTAAAAAACTGTGTATTTAATTCATAATTTCTACTTTGTGCAGACTTTTTTTAATTGAAGATATTCTTGAAAAATCTGTCAATAGTGTGATGAAACTTTATGTTAAAAAGGATTCTATCGTCTTTCAGCTGATAATCGGACTATACTTCAAACAACAGTAAATAAATAAACAGATAGTTAACCGACAATGATTATTGTTTTCTTGTTGCATAATTTCAAATAATATGTCTACTACTGTAACGATCGAAAACACCAGTGGGGAAAACTAGGCGTAATCAAGTATAAAATTACAGTATATCCTAGTAAAATCTGAGAGCCATACAGTAAATACTTCGTTTGCAAAATGTTAATCAATTGTCTCAACTTCGATAGTTCCTTCGTTTTCATACCGATCACTATCTGTTCTCGTTCTTTTCTGTTCGATTTTCTTAACATTCTGCTTCCAGGTGATACATACTACTTGCATTTAACGAAGTCAGTAGCGCACACCGTACTACTAACACTAACAACGTTTAAACACAGTTCTCTACTCCATTCTCAATAATTGTTACTGAAAGGGTAGATATCTCTAAGATAATTTTATCTACGCTTCAAACCTATATTAACATCGATTGAAAAATACTACTGAGTGGCAACTTATAACTCTTGATGTATAAGTTAGTAATGTGAATCACTAGATTTCGCCTCATCGGTCACGAAGTATAAGTTATCGGAGAGGCCTGAGTTTTCTGAGTTCATTCCATTGCTAGGTTATGGATGTTTACCGCTGTAGACGGCCATACTAGGATGAAATAGTCGTTCAGGACTTCTTGATTTTCTATGGATCTCTAAATAAAATCAGTCGGTAATGCAAGCTATAAGCTAATTTATATTATGATATAATACGCTGTTCAAGTCATACTGTTTACATATCTGAGCATAGATATATGTAATAGGATTAGAATTTATGTCAGACTTGTTAATAGTTTATTGCTTAAATTTTATACATAGAAATTAGGCAAGTACGAAAATAAGTTTCATTATAAATTTAGTAACATTGAAAGAAATATCATCACTAATTAACATTACAAACAATGTAAGCAAATGATGAAGAATATTCACAGCTTAAATGGATTCTTTTGATAATGTCGAATTTTCTCAGCTAAACAATTTAATTTCGAAATTTAGATTTTCATTTCAGAAAATAACTATTTATTTAATATCAGATGGGTTTTTGTGGAGATTGTAGTAATTTCAATGGTTAAGATCATGAGTCAGTTGAAGCTAGACCACCATGGAAAACCTGGAAGCACTGGACGGCAGTTTCGTCCTATTGTGGGACTCCTCAGCAGTGCGCATCCACGACCTCGCCTCCTGCGAGATTCGAACCCAGGACCTACTGGTTTCGCGCGTCTAGTGGTTAAGTGCTCGAGCACCAGTAAGTCCTGGGTTCGAATCTCGCAGGAGGCGAGGTCGTGGATGCGCACTGCTGAGGAGTCCCACAATAGGACGAAACTGCCGTCCAGTGCTTCCAGGTTTTCCATGGTGGTCTAGCTTCAACTGACTCATGATCTTAACCATTGAAACTATTTATTTCATAATCAATATGTATTAAAGATTTTCACGTGCATACTTTAGTAAACATCATATTTGTAGATAATAACAGACTGATCAATTGCAGTCTTAAAATAAACTCCGTGGGAAAGTACAAGCCAAACAATACCAAGTGAATTTAAAATCGAATATTGTTCAGTTTACTTTATATACAATAATAAATAACAGTTTCAGTAATATATTTTTTAAATTAATAGTTATTATGTACTTTAATAAATCCATTATAATTTACTAGTATAAAGGTTGTGAAGATTATTAAGTTTTTGATTGAGATCATGAACTGATTGATGTTAGACTACCTTTGGAAACCTGGAATCACTGGACAGCCGTTTCTTTCTATTGTGGGAATCCCGCGAGCAGGGTCGTGGATGAGCACTGCTAAGGAGTCCCACAACAGGACGAAACAGCCGTCCAGTGCTTCCAGGTTTCCAAGGGTGGTCTAACATTATTCGGTTCATGATCTCAATCAAAAACATTATAATTTAAGCAGATGATTAAAGAAAAAGATTATCATTAAGATAATATCTATTTCACTAGTAATAATTTACTATTTTGATAAAATATTCAACAAAACAAAACAAACCATTTTACTGTGAATAGAAAAAAACTATAATTTTTTTTTCTTTTTCACCTTAATTAATTGAACTGGGATCATTTATTTTAATTTCCTATTTGATCCTTGTTATATTTTATTACAGAATAATACATTCAATCAAGATTGTGAAATAATAACATCAATTAATGAACTTCTAGCATCACGTGATCCTACAACAAGAAATATAAATAATGATAAGAACTTGGATTCAGAATTATCGAATTCAAATGTAAAGTTATGATTAGATCAAATTATGTTGTTGGGATATATATTTTATGAAATACACACTTATATAGTTTGTATTTTCTTTCTTTTTCTTTGTATGAAGGATTGGTTAGTTGAAACTGTGTGAAGAATTTGTTTAGATTTAATTCACTGCATTAATAGATCATTTTTTATATCATCATTAATTATCTTGCATAGAAACTATTAAGAAAGATTTCATCATAAATGCTGGGAGTCACTATATTTTATGAACAATTTTAAGCGACGTTGTAGCCAATCGAAATGCAGATAATATAAATAAATAATCTTTTTATATAAAACCTGATAATTTATAATATGTATATACATTCTCTTTGATTCATAAATTTATCAGAGTTCGTAAAGGAGTAACAGGTTTTAAAATGAAAGTGAATGGTATACAAAAATTTCTTTATATGACTACGGTATAATTTACCTTCAAAGCCTCAATATTTCTTAAATTCTTAATATGAACACGAGTTATGAAACAGAGTAAATAACTCATAGGGACGATAGTCTAATGATCATAATCTTTACACTCTCCAAGCTTTTTATGAACTAAATATAAGTAATTTTAATTTAACTCTTCAAACAGTACAGATTATATGTCATAGAGTTTTGAATTTAACCCAATGATCCAAAGTCCGTTACTTTTAATCTGATTGGTTCGTCCATAAAGCATAGTACCACCAATGCATGGTAATGAACGACAGTTATTCAGTGTTAATATCTTAGACTACATTAGTTCTTACTCATGATTTCAAACGTATCACTATGGTATTAGTTGGAGCGTTGTAACCATTAGAAACATAAATTGTAGTCACACTCGTTGACTTTTCGCAGCATTCAAACAATACAAGTGTAAATAGCAACATAAACAAAAATCATTGTTGCACTCCATACATGTATTCTGATAAGAATAATTGTGTTCTAATACCGCAGAATAATAATGATATCGATCAGAATCTATAGTAATCATCCACTTTGTAATGGTCTCATACTACTACATGTCAGCTATTTGTTAACACTCCATTTTTTAATATTTCCTCATTGTTGTTGACATTAATTTTCCTATGTTATTGTGGATTTAAACAACTTGAACCAAGGCACATCAATGGAGAATTGTAATATTTCTAATATATCTGGAATTGTATGCTATTAAATTCTGATATCCACGCAACTGATGATTACAATATATATCCAAAATGTTTTGTAGGATATATATAATTATTCTTAATAACAATTTACTCACACTTATCTTAAATGAAGTTGTAATAATAGTTTGTTTTCAAGCTGAATGGACTGAATTAATAGTTCCGTATAGTTTAGATCATTTTGCAGAGTAACTAAGATTTCATCATAATGCACAATTATGACTCTATAAAGAATTGAATGTATGACTTCCAGGTACCGTTGACAGCATCATAAATTTAGATCACTGAGTCACAATTCAGTGATCCATGCTCTAGTCTGTTTTATAAAGCGCAATCGTCATCAAATATTTTTGGTGATATTTTTCTTAGTTCTAACATCTAATGAACACCACCAGTCACCATAGGTTTCCATTAAAATTTTATAAATCTACTACGACGTTATTCATTACTGAACACAAGATTGTTATCAAGATATTTCAAGGAATCATTCAATCCAAATTAAATTTTCATCAATAACACTTTTTTAACTACTGCATATTCCGTATAAAGTCTATCAGAAAAAATCATAGGTTACTAGTTACTTGTTTCGTTTATGATTTGTGCATATTTGTCAATTAACTACTATATACCTTGATATACATCAATACTGTCAAAACTCATTTACTATCATAGTATGCTAAATTAGGACTTAAAGTAGCAAAAATAATTTCTTCAATAGAAATCGTGTACTTTAATCAAATTCTATGTGTTATTTCACAAAATGTAATTAGTCCAACATTGCAGATGTTTGAGAATCTATGTATTTATAGAAAAATAGGTTGAAAAAAAATGAAATGTTTAGATGGGTAAACTACTCATTTATGTTTAGAAATATTCTGACCTTATATACTCAAATATTATTAAATAAAAGTACATTCTTATTATCGTAGTAACTGTTTTGTCACTATATTTATTCTGCCTAGGGCAAAAGAAAATCTAATTAGATCACAAACTCAATAGAATTACTCGTGATTATAGTCTAATTGTGAGCTGAGTTTGTAAACTATATAAAGTTGTTTTCACTATTTTGATCTATTTTTGTTAAATGTAAACAACTAGAATAAAAACAGTGAATAAGAGAATTTTTTACTTATATTTAACAGTAATATATAGTTTGATTCAATGGGTAATACATCAAAATCAATCTATTTGAAAATATCAATGCAGCTATTAAGAATGAAGTGATTAGTAGAAATGATATTAGTTCGACGGAAAAACGACATCCAATCTTTCACCAATGTATCAACCTACTCATAAAAATGAATTTTCCACATCAATTCGATCCTTGAAATTTCATAAGCAGTTCATGTGTTCCATCAGTATAATGAAGACATTATATACGTCTATTCCAGGTTAAACTGATATTTAAGCAATATCAGTTTATTCTTTGACAAAAATTCGTTCAATGAACTGCTTTAAAATCGGATGTTCTCATTAATTCGCTAGGTTTTCAATTCTTGAGTAACTTAAAGTCCTTAACATGTTCAAATATTCACTAATGATGATATGTGGTTTACTTGTAATTCCCTTCGAGGTCTTAATATCATACTTACTGGTTCAATAGTGTAGGGAGATAATGAATGGAAACCATGATAAGCTATGAATTCGTTTACTTTGGGATTTATCAGCAAAGCATCCATTTGACGAGGAAACCAATGATCTATTGAAGATTTTAACTCGCGTCACTTAACATTGCAGTCAGACATAACAGTTAAGCTCGACAAATGACCTATAGTACATTGTCGAAGAGCATAAAAAATATCATACTGTTTACTGTCGATAAATTTCTACTAAGTTTGGTGTGTGATCTGAAAACTAAGTAGCTCAACACCATAGTCCATTTTATTTATGAACATGTGATTCTGAGTTTACAAAGTGAGAAATAGTCGCTTCGAGACTCAATCAAATGGATACTTAATAAACCTGCAACTACTCGTTATCAACTAAAAGACGTTATGATGTCAAATCACTAACCCTAAGAACCATATTTTGGACTTCAGAACTTAAATTTATTTAACACTAAAAGAATGAAGCCTTTAATTCAAATGTAGGGATATCCTACATATGTTAGGTCAAGACGGATTTCTCTATGTACTAAATATATTCGACACTATACAATCAAGTCTACTTATCAATTTGCTTAATTACACGAAAATAACCTTTCGGAACTATTTCTCCACATCTATAAAAAATTACACTATCAACAACCCTGAGGAGTTATCATTCTTAGGAAAAACCTAAGTTAGTCAAATTATTTATAGAAATGGAGAGTTAGGTAAAAATAATAATCTGATTTGGCCATCCAATTTCTAACATATTGTACAAACAATAAATAACTTATTATTAACGCTTGATGAAACTTGGTTCCATAAAAAACATGCATTCTTACCAGCCATGCTTGAGAGTGAAGCTCCACAAAAATACAATTTCACTGTTAAGTTCTTTCAAAGCGAATATTCATGACAAAGATACTTTGTGGATGCTATGAATGAGTGTAAAATAGGTGGGATGCGTTTCATATACGTTGAATGCAGAGTCATTTCACTCTGGTAAAAGTAGTGCAGCGGCTGAGTTGTCAATAGTTACTTATACTAAGAATTACACGCTGATAGAATGATGAGAATTTGGCACGAATATGGAGGACTTATTTAGCTAAACCTACTTACACTACTACTGTCACAAACGAGTTATCCTAATCCACTTTAAATCTCACTTATGCTTCAACTCTGAAACGAAACATTGACAATTGGATATGATCGTTTCCATAGGAAATATTCTTAAGGATTCTATGTGATTTATTTCATTCACATTCTGTGGAATGACCATATTTTTGAGTTAGTCGATCATATTCCCATTCTAACATTTTTAAACAATTTAAAACTAATCTTTCCCCTTGGGAATTCTGTACGATGTTAGATTAACTTCTCACCGGTGTAACAACACCATTGGAATTTCTGTGAATTATTGATAACTACAAATGAAACGAGCGAGTTAACATAATGAGAACAATTTATTTATGTGATTAAAATCAAAAAAGGGGGTACACCACAAATGCATTGATTTTCTCTTCATATGAATATCTCAAACGTATAGTCAAATCAAAGAATAGTAATTCGAAGTTCCAGTTTACCATAGTAGTAGTAGTGGTAGTAATAGTAGTGATAATTATAATAATAACAAATATCATGGAATATTGAAGTAAACTTTTTTTCGAGTTTGAGTATACATTTATGTAAACAAAGAGGAAAAATTGATCCAAAAATGCTCTTTTTTACTGAAGCTTTCAAGAACTTCACTTTACAAAAAAGACATACATACATGCACACATACATAAAGAAATAATTATGAGATCCTTATTTGCATTATGATGAAAATAACTGAACAACGAGACTAGTGTCATTTTAGCTAAATACTTGGTGATAATACTTGTTTCTTCAAATTTAAGTTTGCTGTTATCAACAAAATAAAATGCAAAATAAAATATTGGAAATTATTTCATTCTAAAAAAAGTTGTACTTATGACATTGTAGAAAAAAGACAGTATAAATGATAATGACAAGAGAAAATAAGTGAAATAGCGAATAATGGTAGTAATAACTGAGATATATTGAATATATAAAAATATGTTTATGTCGTTAAAAGTTTATCCTGTATCATTCTTACTGGGTTGATAGAAAAAAAAACAAAGCAGAGTAAATGAATAGATAGGCAAAGTGCAGTAGATTAGAAACTATATGCGATAGTCAGACAAGATAGCACGATCACTATTGTGTTATTCAATACATAAAATACATATATATGGTTTTCATTAACAATGTAAACGAAAACGTAGAAGAGGGAGATAGATGGAGCGTATGTTCGTGTTCGCATATACATAGATACTAATTATTAGATTATTGACTAGTACCAAAATCATAATTCATCATTTAGTGAATACAAACAGTATATAAAAGATAAAATGGAATATCCTATGATAGGGACAGGCCAAAAATAAAAACGAAAGCCAAACAAATGAATATAGAGTAAACACAGAACATATATTAAAAACTAGAGTAATATATATATCCATATTGAGTATGGAGCAAAATACACGGTACTCATAATTACTTTTATTACTATAACTGATAGCAGTTAAACAAAAATACTTTAACAAATTATTATCTTTTTCTCCAGACATACTATCATGTACAATAAAGATAGGACAGTTATCATTATTGAGTGGAAATAAGAGAGGCAAAATGCACATACAAACAAACAAATAGACCATGAATTGAACACATCGCGCATTGTCAAGTGTGTAGAACAACAACTGGAAAGTGCACACAGTGTATACAACTGTGAGAAATAAAATTAGAAAATAATTCAAGCAAACCATAATCATTGCCATATTCACCACCTCTTATCAACCTCTTTCCCGTGCCCACTTCTCCCTGTTTATCCTTCCGTCTACTGAGAAAATGCACTTTCACTACTTTGCTTTAAAAACAAACTAATTAAGGTTATAAATATTTCCTTTCATTGTCTACAACACCGAGATTTTTACATAATAATAATAATAACAATAATAATAATAATAATAATAATAGTACGTAGGGATTCTGCTATCTAAAAATAAGCTGATGGATCATGATTTTTGGGTGATCTTAATGCAATGCTCTGTTTGAAATCTGTCAGTTCTTTTGTCAATTTTAATCGAGTATAATAAGCTGACAATGAGCCAACAAATAGAGTCTGTGAAGGCAAACAAAAATGGAGCAATAAAAAGAAACAGTTAACAAATGTATGAGATATTACGTGAGACTTTTTTACGTTAACTAATTTAAAGAGAAAAAAACAGTTTGTCACTCAGTCATTCACTTATAAGTATGTAGATTCAGAAATATATATGCATCGGTGCAAGTTGCCACCACATTACATCAGGAAAGCGAGATGAAAGTCTGAGGACAAATATTAGAGTAGCAGAAGTAGTAACAGTATCGATCATAATAGCAAAGATTGGAGATGAACAATAATTTGAGAAGAATGAGTTCGCAGAATAACGGGCATAAGATAATCTTTAAACTCAGGATCTATTAGAAAACAAAGAGTGAATGTATCTGTACCACTGTGGTCGATAATAAAACATGCCATCCGACATCTCCAATCAATGATCGAGGTTATCGTGTGGACATCAACTAGGTCTGCACCTACAAACACAGATCAGTCCAACAGTCAATTACCTTTAGAATTGGTTGCAATTCTGTCCATTATTCCGTAGGCTTAAAAGTTTCCGTTCGCAAGTATGCAATACATGCAAATATAGAATGCATAAATCAAGGCTCATACACTGCATAGAGTACAAGTGCATATAGATATAAAAGCAATCACTCCAGGCGGTAACTCAGAATTATTTTTACTGAATGAATATCAAGTATTCAAATTACTATATCAATAAGTCGTCACAGACGATGTGCTCACTTCAGATCCATATCACAAGCAGATTTAGTGTTGACCTTTGTGCATTAGTTACGGCACAGTTTATAGCCTACGCTCTGGCCCGTCCCAGCCAGACCTTATGGGTACTTCCAGACGAGTCTGTTTAAGAACCAAAAGGAAGTTTTTCTCGTGCCACAATTGCACTCTTAATTTTTCAGTAGAACTCTCTTCTCATACAATCACGATTAAGAAAGATAATGTGATTAGCCCGAACTCCATCTGACTTATGCACAGTGGTTGGACAGACCGGTATCAGCTAAAGTAATCATGGCCTATTCGTATATTGAAAGTTAGCAAAACGTCTATCGAATTCTGACAAGATTCATTACAAGGTAAAATATTTCAGGTTATTCGTTATTCAAGCAGAATGCCATGTTAGACTTCTATAAAAGTTAGTACACTTTACAGTTTGATGTTAGTCAGACATTACTGTTGACTTGTAAAATAGGTGCAGCTTCTAATCGTATCGTTTAGTTGATAAATCTTCTGACTGGACGTTAGAATCAGTTTCCAAAGCTTTTTAATAATCCCAGGCTACACGACAACCTGAACACGAGAGAAATGGTGCGAAATATGGGAAGAACTCTTTACTCCAAGGTTCGTTTATGTACAGAAAAATTAGGGTATTTATGGCATTTCAGATGGTCTTAGGCTTCTTGAATGCTACTAAACATAGTAGCAGGGTAGGTAATCATTCAATCAGAAGTGTGACACGTGACTTTTTTTTCTAAATGTTCTTGAAAGACTTCTATCTAACGCTGATTGGGTAAAATGTTCCCCAGAATTTACAGGGACCGTATAAACATTTTTCGAGGAATATTCTGGATCTCTCTAACTGTAGCAAAACAAAATCCGTATGTGACTGTTGAGGCAGACTTGTGTTATGATACTACCTTACAATGATATTGATAAAAACAAAATTATGCGCATTAGACTTCATAGAAATCTTATTGGTTAGTAATTCATCTTTTCAAACATGAACTCTGTGTGCAAAAGAGACACATGTAAGCCATCATTCGTCCGTGCACCTAACATGGTAATCCAATTTCATTACATTCTTCTGTTTTTAATCTTTACCTTTTTAGCTAAATTTTTATCCTTCCCACATCTGATTTCATTCAACTATCTCTCTCCTCACTTCAATTTTCGATTATTAATTAACTTGTTTTGACATATGATATGATGTGACCATCCTCCTGTCGTTTAGTAGACTATTTTATTCGTAAGTCAATTATAAATACGATTGTACAACTAGAGTAAATGATATTCTTGAAAAGAAAAATTTCCTCCTTGAATTGTCTGAATTCCTCCTCAATGACTCCATAGGTTACTTCCGTTAATTTTACTATAATCTTGTATAACAAGACTAAAATAATAAAAGGTTTAATAAGAAGTGTGTAAATAAATAGAATAGATAAAAAAGAAACATACAAACGTACCAAACCAAGTAGAACAAAAACAGCACCGCCAAGTGAACAAGCAAAAAGTGGACCCACTATCATAACCTAGATAAATGGGAAAAACGTTGTAGAAGTAAGTGTGAATGTGATAGATTAAAGTAAATTGAAGGTAATAAACTTCATTTTTATTTCATAGGTTACATAACAGACTGATATTGATTAGACGGTCACTGAAACTGAAGAAGCACCGGACAGCTACTTTTTCCTATCCTGGGATCATACCTTGGCAACAAAAGAATGTCTTTTAAATATACTACACACACCATTCTTATCGAGACTTTCGTAACTACGACAGAAGCGAGAAACTAACTATTCATCCTATGTACAATAGGAGATAAACGGAACATCGTTAAATCAGAAACTAAGTGAGAATGAATAAATAATCAGAGTGTTAGGAATAAGATTACAATGATTACCGACATTCAGAGAGTTATGACACTAGGTCTCACATGAAACAAATAGCTAAGAAAGAATTACTAAAATAGAGAATTCTGGAAGGGAGTAGGCATTAGTAGTTATTAATCTGTTAACTAAATAAACGTGGCTGGGAAGAGTCAGTCAGTCAGTCAGTAACAACGTAGAACTTCGTACGTACGTACATCAGTTCGAGTTGCCACACCACATTAGCACAGAGATGCACTTGTCGATTCAAATCCCGTAGTGGTAGAGGTAATAAGAATATAAGCAGTAATCGGGAAGATTAGGGTTTGGAGATGTTATTTAAAGAGTATAATCCAGTGAAAGAAATTTGGAAAGAGGAAAAAAGGGACATGAAGAATTCAGAAGATTAGTATTTGGGAGAACACAGAGAGTGGATGCACCTGCGCCATTGCAAACGATTTTGAGCCATGTCATTCAGGGTCTCTAACCATCGGTTGCTGTCATCTCGCGGTCCCCAACCAGGTAGTCTACACCTACCAACATGACTCAGTCTACTTATCAGTGACTTCATGGACTTGTGCCATGTTTTGGTTTGGCCGCCCCTAGCTTTCTTCCAACCTACTCCTATACCAATGAACATAGCACGTCGAGGCAGTCGGTCGTTGGGCATACGTAACACGTGTCCCAGCCATCTCAACTGATGTAGTTTCACTACTTCATCAATTGATTTGCCATCCTTACCTAGTACCCGTTTCCTAACAACTGTGTTACTTACTCGATGGTCCCATGATATACGAGCAATGTTTCGAAGACACCTATGATCAAATACTAGTAACCTACGGATATCCTCTACTCTTACCGGCCATGTTTCACTGCCATAAAGTAGGACGGAACGAACTGCTGCGCAGTAAACACGTCCTTTGGTTGATAGACGGATATCTCGCCTACGCCATAAATGACGCAAGTTGGCAAAAGCTAGTCGAGCCTTCTGTATCCGTGCTGAGATTTCGTCACACACTAAACCACAAGGGCTGATGAGACTTCCAAGATAAGTGAAGCGGTCGACACACTCAACTACTTCACTCCCTATCACTAGTTCGGGTGTCGATGTAACCCAATCCTGAAGCAACATTTTGCATTTCGAGGGAGAGAATCGCATGCCGAACATGCTTGCATTGTTGCTTAGAGTGGTCAGAAGACTCTGCATTTTGTCAGCGTCTTCACCAAATAAAACTATGTCATCAGCATATTCTAAGTCAACAAGTGAACCTCCTGGTAGAAGTTCAACCCCTGTAAATTTAGATGAAGAAAATGTTATCTCTAAAAGTACGTCAATGACAAAGTTGAACAAGAATGGGGAGAGTGGACAGCCCTGACGAACACCACTTGAGGTGATCAATTCTGATGACAGTTCGCCATAAGCTCTCACTCGACCAGTTGTGTTCGAGTAGAGAGCCTTTATAAGGTTAATGTACTTCGTTGGTACTCCTTTCAGTGACAAACACTGCCATAGAACCTCACGATCAATAGAGTCGAATGCCGCCTTAAGGTCGAGAAATACTACCATTGTGGGGCGTCTGAATGTGTGTCTGTGTTCTAGAACCTGACGTAGTGTGAATATCTGATCTATACAACCACGTCCAGGTCGAAAACCAGCCTGGTTTTCTCTAATCTGCTCTTCACGAGCTTTGATTAGGCGTCGAAGTATTATTGAAGCTAATATTTTAGACACTATATTAGTCAAACTGATTCCTCTGTGATTGTCACAAGAGGACTTTTGTCCTTTCTTAAAAACTGGCACAATCAGTGATTGAGACCAGTCAGATGGGATTACGTCCAGTTCCCAAATTCTACCTAAGACCTCGGTTAATCTCATTGCTAATACTGGACCACCATCCTTAAAAATCTCAGGAGTAAACCTGTCAGGGCCTGCTGCTCTCCCTCGTTTCAGATTTCCTATGGCGTTTTCAATTTCGTAAAGGGACGGAGGACTTACATTAACTTGCCATTCAGGTTGACTGGAGATCGTGGGAAACCGAAGTGTGGCTGAAGGCCAGTTGAACTGATCCCTAAAGTGTTCTGCCCATCGATCCAATCTCCTGGATTGAGAATGAATAATATGCCCATCTTTCTCTGAGATTGTTTCGCTAACGGTCGGGTTCCTAATTCCGGTTTCCTTAACGAGTCTAAACAATTGTCTGATATTACCTATTGCCGCTGCCTTTTCCATCTCTCTTGCTTTCGCTACCCACCACTGTTCGCGATCATTGCGTAGACTTCTTGTCAGCTTGCGCTTAAGCTGACTCCGCTCTTCATTATGTTCAGAGCCAGGTGGAATGTGTTTCCGAGCATTTATCAGTGAGATAGATGCTGCTGAGATCCAGTGTTGCTCCCTAACCTTCTGGTTTACCTTACTAGCAGATATCACTGCTGTTTCCACAGCTTTTCGGATATCATTCCATGCTGCTTCGGGATGGGCATCACATACATGGCTGCCTAACTGTTTTCCTAGTTGTTCCTTAAATATACTCTTAGCTTGACTATCATTAGGTAGGGCTCTAAGAGGTTTCCTTGCAGGATCTTTCCTGCGTCCAGTAAGACGCAAGCAAATACGCACTCGCACTAGAGCATGATCTGAATCTAGGCATGTGCTCCAGAATGAGCGACAGTCTTCTATCTAGCCCCTCCATCGGTGGCTGATAGCGATGTGATCTATTTGGGTCCAATGTTGGGATGACTTTGGAGGGTCGCCATGTTAAAAGATGTTTTTCCTTATGCTTAAAGTTAGTATTTGCAAGGAACAGGCGGTTATCTGAGCATAGCTGCAACAGACGGTCGCCATTATCTGTTCTTTGAGCCACGACACCATAGGATCCACCTAGGTGTCTTTCCTTATCGCTTAGTTTACCTACCTGAGCATTAAAGTCACCGGCCACTATTACTACATCCGAGCGCTTAGCTTTTCGGAGAAGGTCCGAAAGCTTTCTGTAAAACTCATCTTTTACATCATCTGAGCTGCAGTCAGTAGGAGAATAGGCAGAGACGACGAAAAGGCAACGACGAGTGTCCCTATCTTTCCGGATTCTTACTGTTCCGTTCAGTCGGACAGCGCACAAACGACTGTTTACTGGGATCCACTCTAAGAGAGCTAGTTCTGCCCTAGGACTCAATGCTATACCTACGCCGGCGAGGCCACGGGAAGCAGAATCAGGGCTTCCAGATACACGAAGCGTAAATCGAGTCGGTTCTTTATTTTGGCATGGTGAGGTCAAATGAATGACGCTACTCGGATCCTGTATGCGCGTTTCGGAGACGCAGCACACATCGATGGCGCGAGATTCTAAAGTTTTAGCTAAGGAAGCCTGCTGTCCTATTTGGCAAAGTGTTCGTACGTTAAAAGCTCCTACGTGTAGTTTAGAGCGTGGTTTCAGGAGACCAGGAATGGCGTTCCACGTACTCGAATCGTTTGCCCTAGCGGTGCGAGGTGATAAAGAGACGTGAGGAGGGTTAGTCGGGAGGATAAGAGACGTATTAGGAGGTGTAGGAAGGATTTGAATGTGACCACCTTGGTCTATTGTGCTGTTACGGGTATGAGGGCTGATGTCACTTCCCGGCTGCCCACACCGTGGAAGGGTATTTCTTGAGGAACCTGAAAAGGAAATTGGATTAGTGTTGGTCTTGACGACCTGGGAGCGTGACCGCAGAGCCCAAGGAACAACTGCTTGAGGCCGGTCGCGCACGGCCTTTTTGTGGAAGGTTTTTGACGTGTTAGCTCCGTTCTTCAAGGGGCCTTACCGCCGGAGACGGAAATCCGTGAGGTAAGGTGAGGTGTGACATTTTTAGGGTCGACCTTTTCTAACCCCACCCCTCCTTGTGGGAAGGCAGCATCGCTGTCATGCTGGTTGTCCGAGGGAAACACCTTACTGCTGTCACACCTCTCTACAGTCAGCAGTACGACTTTGCCCTCAGACCTTGAGTTGCTGCTTTTAGTCTTACCGTTCGCCAATCGACCTGCCTGGCATGGTAGAACCTGCAGGAACATATGTTCCAGCCAATATAGCTCGGTTGGGTCATCACGATAGGCAAGCCCGACCACCGCGTCAAGGTAGCAGCTTCGATCGGAGTGGCTGAGAACATGTACAATTTCAGTGACTTTTTTTTTACCTGAAAGGTAGACAGTGTTTTGATTAAATCTGAGCTAGTAACCTAAGAGATACAAGTTTAAGGGTTCAAATCACCTGTCACCATAACTAGAACTTATTATAATATGCACAATTTATTAGGTTTTTGGAATACTTATCAACAGCACACATCAAAGACATCAGTTTATAGATCATCACATTCACTTATCATGAACCACATATTATTGCTTTTATCGAATTTCGGTACCCATTAAGCACGGTACGTTTGTGTATAAAAACGGTAGCCCTCCCCCATCAAATGCAAAAATTTATTGTTTAGTCTGTGGATGTGAGAAAGATCATAATTTTAAATTTGACATCCGTTATCATTAAAAATCGATTCCTGAATTTCCTTTACAGCCTACTTGGCTTAAAACTTCTTGTCTAAAGCTTCGACTCGATCAATCAACGTCTTCAACCATGAACTACGATTATATAAGAAGTCTTGACCTGAAAGTCTGTACTGATCGACATGGCTCAAGCCTTAAACCGACCTGCTAGCATATATGAAGTATCTAGATATAGAAAATTGTGAAAAGTCAAGCACGTTGTTTACATTCGTGTTGAGAATTTGTTAGTCAATAATCCACCATGACTAATGAAATACATAAGTAACTTCGTATTGTGCATTAAGCGTTAATTACCCAACATCAGCTATACCTAATCATTCTACAGCAATCCATTTTCTGGTATTCCTCATTACTTTATTTATTTTCTAATTGCTTTTCTTTGTGTACTTTTAGTTCACCTACTGTCTCACCCTCTACATTGATACAGCCATTACTAACACTACAAGTATGTACTTACCATTAATGGAAAACATAATGATAAGTCAAACTTACTTCGTCACAAAATCTTGCAAATTCGTTCAGCGAAGTAATGGCTTCACGATAATTCAGTGACTCATCATACATCCATGGTTTAATATAAACACCTTGAAAAAAAGAGAAATAGTGTACCCATAAAACACTGACACAACAATAGGAAAATAAATAATTGAATTTCACTGGCAGATTTGTAAAATATTTGATATCACTTCAATAAACTAGAAATAATCAACCCACTGTGTCCAATAAACGACTCTGTCTGTAGTTGCGTTAGAAACGACAAATAAATTTGTATAGCTTTTACAAAAGATGGTTCTTTCTCTAAATTATCAGTTTATGTTTTAATAGATATCGTTTATTATTTAAAGCTATGTAAAATGTTTGTTAGCAACAAAGATTTTTAACAGGTTGTTGAGATCATTGCTTAAGAAGACGACCAGACTTTTGAAAATCTGCATAAATAAGAATAAATATCCATAGCGGTCATCACATTCGTTTAAACTATTATTCAATTGTAACGCAACATAATAAGGAATAGAATTGATGAAGTAAAATAAGAACACGGTCAACTTATTAAAAACCTATATCCTATTCACATTGTTAGATGATGATAAAGATGAAGTATAAAGAACCAACAAAGAACAAGTGAGGTGCTTCAAGGTCACGACACACTTATCAAAATAGAACGTTATCTACCGAACACAGATGATTAGTACTGATGACAAAAACACTGTTAAATACCTAAGGTTAGGGTTAAGGACAAAATGTAGAGTTTACGTTTAGGATGTACAGTTTAAAGTTAGGATAAAGGTAAATATATATTAAGCGTAAAACCTAATCCCAATACTAAATTCTCACTTTACTCATAAACCCTGATTGTAACTGTAACCATAAATCCTAAATCCTGATCATAGCTGTAACCCCAAACTCAAATCTTAAAATCTACATAATTTTAAATCACAATGGTAAGTTTTGAGCACCAATCATAACTGTAAATCTTATTGCTAAAACCTTAATCCTAGTTCCAGCATTACAAATCATTTATTTACAATTGTGGTTTAATGATTGGCTGAATGTGATCAGAAATCTGTCGCGCTCCTGATTTTCTCATAGTTGAGCTTTACTGGAAATGAATGTGTGTTTCACACAGTACATACACAGGCATTATAATATTCCTTTGAAATAGATGGGAACTTGTCGGTCGATAGGTTTATTCGTACTTTTCAAAGTCCCAATTTTAAGTACACGTAGTACATTGAAGTTAGAAATCGTTATATTGAATTACCTGTCAACAAACCTGGTGCAAACATTCAGTTTGAAATTCTGATAAACCAGATGAATGTTCTTATCGCAGATTCGAACATGAATATTGAACAATTGGAATCAACTGTTCTGAACTGCTCGTACTAGGCATTTAGTATAAAACTCGGTACTTGTTTAGAAAAATGATATTAAAGTGGGATATTATAAATACTTCTTGTTAGCGGGACACATTGGATTGAAGCATGTTCCATGCACGATTGTGTCAGTGCACGCTGATTGGCTGTTTCTTATCCAGCGCTAGTCGATACTTGGGGAAGACTAGAATCTTCTCATGTAAAAACTATAAATATACTGTTTTTTTATTGTGCCTCTTACTTCCATCTACCCTTGTTATTTGGAATATAATTCCCTTCCTGTTCGACTGTTTTCTGATTTGGGGACTTGTCAAGTGAATCGGTGTCCAAGAATACTCAGCAATAGGAATAGCCGGGTCGTAATAAGAGAGAATTATAACACTTTTACAAAATAAACTATTTAATGGTCAATCAATTGTAGAATCATTTAATTAAATATTAATGGCGATGTTCAAAAAGAGTATGTTTTTATTGTAGGAAAGCAAGTACTGAGAAAAATGAGATTCTGGGAGATAAATAATTGCCACAGATGTATTTGAGTGATACGGAAGATATTATTCCTAATTTTACCGCTATGTTAAGGTCTATTTTATTAGGTGCATAGCAATTCTTTCTAAGTCACTGATTAAACTAGAAAAAGATCCATAACATTTTGAGGAATATAAAAGATGAGTGAATTATAAGTTTAGAATTACAAAGGGGGATGTTTCGGTACCAAATTTCACCAAGCACATTTAGTCTTATAAATAAATAAAACGTTTTACTGATACTTAATATATGCAACTATACGATTTTGCAATCCGTCGTTCACATGATATCCTGAAAGCGAATAATAAAATATTCCAAGTAGCAGAATTACAACCACGAATAAATTACAGTTCCATATTCTTTTCAAATTGCTTACCAATAATCTTTAACTAAGAGGAAACCGTTGAAAAATGCTCGGGGTAAAAGAACGTACCAGGTCACTATAATGCAATAAATGACCCTAATAGTAAATGGATGATATCTATAGCTGTAATTTTCATCGATGTACATGTATTATTCAAAGGAGACGAATGTATAAAAGGTTGAATCTATTTTTATGAGGATTTTATCAGTTAACTACAATTATGAAGGCTTTGGACAGAATACTGAATGAACATATACTTGTATGCATGAAGAGCGTAAAATGATTGATTTTATGAATCATGCTCTAATTCATCTCTGCTTAAATACAATCTAGGCTTCTAAATGCCCTACTACAGCCGAAGGTGGAGAGAGTCAGCTCTCCCTCTTGAAATGCTCTCACGAGGCCACAAGTATACAGCCACTGTCGGGGAAGTCCTACCCACTGCCTTCTCGTGTCGGGGGTGTTGTTTACAAAATTTAGAGAACGAAAAGCTCTGGCCGGGTAGGTGAATAATGAGGATCCACCTAGGGGAGCTGGAAAACCCTGACTCCAAACTAATGATGCAGCTGGGCTCCAAGATCCTGAGGGAAAAATAGCGTATAAACCTATCGTTGGTCACAGACTACCATTGGACTGCATCTCCTAACGATGCTCCATTGCCTTATGGATTTGTCCTTCAGGTCAATGGCTTCGAATGTGCCTCCCTAAGAGAACCATCCGCCTCGGTTTGGGCACCTGGGTAGTATCCCAGCCCTCACACAAATTAATGGTAACCACTACTAGTCTCATTGTTATTGTGTGGCCCATATGTACTGGGTGCCCCCATGTACCAATGTTTATGTGTTTAAATAATAAATAGTGCAACTGACCCTCATAAAATAGGCAAGATCACAGGCCGGTAATAACTAAGACGTACTTACGTCATTATTACTCATAAAATTAAATAGACAATGCTCTTATCATGCCCACTGATTTGAATTCATATAGGTTCGTCTATGGAATATGAACTGGTTACTATTTTATACCAAATGGTTTAGTAACTATAAAAAAATAATATAAACATATAAATGGTTTATTAAGCACAAGATTAGAAAGTAGCATTAATAAGAATGATTTCAAAACACATCTTTACCATAATGTGTCAAGTTAAAAATGTAGTTGAAATCAGGAGAATAATATCGATTGCCGTGATAATTTGGTAGATTGGGTGAGTTTCCCAGATTAACAAAAGGAGGTCTGAAACCATTTTGAGACTCAGAAGGATTATAGCCAAAATTGAGATTTTGATAATAGTAGGCAAGACGAGCTGTATACGTTTCCGCCAGGTAATCTTTACGATCTCGTAACTCTGACAGAGATGGAGCAACACGGCCATCAGGACCAGGACGTCGTGCACCTGGTCCATGCCAAACATCAGCTAACTCAGCAGTACAAATCGAGTTGAACATTGCCCAACAAAATGTAGGGACAACAAGGAATGCTAAAAATATTAACCATACAATTATGGTTACATATGTGGTGCACATGAACTATTTGTTTAAGGAAAAGGAAAGGAAAAAATTAAAAAGATATAATAATGAAATGCAAAAAAGTGTAATGTTGCATAAAAATACGTTAGCTAATTATAAATACGAAATTTAACAATAACTACAGAGATAGATACTCTTATTTTGCAAGTGCCATTGATGATTACAAAAACCTCTTCATCCTTGGCTGGAAAACTTAGTCCCAATACTTCGGAAGCACTGAGAATTGCCTTTATCAGTATATTAATGACAGAAATAGGTAAAAATCAGTAAACTGGACTTTCAATACAAACATCATTAGTTTTGTCAAGTCAAATAGTAAGTAATCATAAACACTCAAACAATTGTGAAAGCTTCAGTAAGAAGCCATTGGATCTGTGAAATGGATGTTTGATAATTCGATTAATCGACAAATGTAACCACAAGATATTTTAAACAACTGAATACTTTACGATGTATTGATAAATGTCGACCAATGTTCGTCAACACATACTGGCTTAGATTAGAATATCCATTTTCTTAATATTGTCATCTAGTAGAAAGGTTTACTTGGACACAGATAATAGTTAGACACAAATAAACAATCTAAGAAACATTTTATGAGTTTCAAAATAAGTAACATCAGTACTTTTATCCGCTTTTTATTATACTTGCTTGAATAATAATAACCGGAAAAAGCATTCGACTAGATAAAAATGGTAAATAATTATCAAAAATTAATTTTTTTCCCTACATTTTAATGACACTTGATCAACAATTGAGATTGTGTATGTAAACTATGGAACTAATAATATCTTTAAACTCTGATCCCACAACCAACTGATGACCTTGAAACTATCGAAATCCCTTCCGAAAAGTTATTTCTTTTGAAGGATAAAATCATATACAAAATCATGATAAAGATCATATTTCTAGTAAACTAAAAAACAAAACTCAATACCCCGTACGATCAAATATCCATAGAATGTGACATAATTTAAAGAAACATTAATTGACATGATGCAAGTGAATTTTGCTAGGAGAGTAAAGGGTACTTCAGTACAAGCAATTCCAAACTAAAAAGTAAGTAAACTGCAAACTTCCTGTAAATTTCAAAGACATTTGTTTTACGAATCAAAATTAATCACTAATCTGTATCAAGAAGAGCTACTGATTGACTTATAATCAATAGGTTGTAGGTGGCAACCGAATCTAACTGACCAAGATTTAAGTAGGCCCAAGTTCTGTTCATTGAAATTTAATCCAAACAACCTAATAGTTATTTTGATGTCGCTGTTATATTTTATCGAAGATTAAATTACGAGTAACTTCTGAGGACTTTTGTTAGCGGGACATACACTGGATTAAAGCATGCTCAATGCACGACTGTTTTTGGTGCACGCTGATTGGCTAATTCTTATCCAATCAGCGCTAGTCGATAGTTGGAGAATACTCTGGAATCTTCTCATGTAAAAACCATAAATATACTAACGTTTTCTCTATTATGCTTTCACTTCTTACTTTCATTTAACCTTGTTATTTGGAATATAATCTCTTTCCTGTTCAACCGTGTTCTGATTTGGGGACTTGTCTAGTGAATCGGTGTCCGAGAATACTAAGCAATAAGAATAGCTGGGTCATACCGTAAGAAAAAGAGATTATAACAACTATTAATGGGCTAACATTATATATATATATATTCCTTTTATTATAAAATCCATTTTGACCTATAGATTACTATTATACGATTTACTGTTCTTAAGTTATGTTCAGTTTATTGATTACAGTCTCCCACGTTCATAGCCACTTTTGGCTTGATGTTGTATAAATGTTATTTCTTATTTTATGGTGTGATGTGATCTGTTTGGCTGGTATATGAACCAAGATGTTTGAAATAAATGATTCGCAAATTGGAACCTGTTATTGGCTTTCTGGATTCAAGTGACCGGGCTAGGCGAACAAAGGACCAATAAGCATGCTAGGCTGCTCATACCGTTCGAACGTCATTGTTTTGGCACAGTGTATAGCGTATAAGTCGTATTCCGATCGACGAATAAATCACGTGATAAAAAAGCGGGCTCAAAGTCACAAAAGTCGACTTCTAACTAAAAAAATTATTAGTATAGGCGTTTGTGGAGATTTCCGAATTTTATAGTTGAGATTACAGGTTGATGTGGGTCCTTGATGTAAACAACCAAAGCTAACTTGTCTCTGTTGATGACTCCGGTGTTACACTTAAAAATCCTGGAAAATAAACCACATAAAAGCATAACATTTTATAACTTTCCACAGACCATAAAAGAATTATAGTAAATTCTGTACAGGCCCACATACGGTTTATAATAGACAAACTGACTTGCCGAAAATAATTACAAAATTCTTACCAGAGCTGCTGAACAACGCCCACCCATAATGTAGCGATCACCACGATAGATGCGGCCACGAGTAGCATTATTCACAAGTGTTGAGAAAATTAGTATAAGAAAAGCGAGTAGAACGGCTACTGCCCCATTCACAACTGCAGCTATTCTTAGATAAGGTAAACTGAAAGTTAAGGAACAATTGATATAACAGCAATGACTTTTAAAAAAGGTCAGAAAAAAGTAACTCAGTGACTCAGTCACAATCAACGTAGAACGCGGTACAAGTGCACGTTGGCCAGCACGACGAGATGAATAGAAAAGAAAGGAAAATAATGTATTAGCAATGATAACTAAGGTATGACTTTACAGAAAAGATGTTTTGGAAGATAATCAAAGAAGGATTTTCTACCTGAAAATAATACGTGAAGCCCATTGATTTCCAAAACTTGTCTAAAAAGCTCAGTAAATGGATACTACGGGATCAGTCATATGAAATATAAAAGTATTTGCGAGGAACAATGAGAATAATAGGATGGTTTTTCATCTCAATAAAATTCACTAGCTACAAAACCTATGATGAGTTATACTTTTACATAGATGAGATTTACTCTAATGAACATACCAGACCTTGAGGATTTAATTTGTAAACCAAAAACTCAAAAACGTTTGTTGGTATACAAATCATATCAATTGTACTAGAATTAATGATAAGATTGAATAGATTCTATTAAAACAGATGCTCATGATCGAGGACGATTTATGTGCAGTATCTTATAAAAGAACGATGATACCTAGATACATTTCGTAAAGTTGAATTTACTATGGACTAATGAATATTTAAGACCACTTGTATCATTGAAAAATAAAGTTCTGTGACCAATTAGTTACTGATGTATTCCAGTTTAGAAAGTTAATCTGGAGTATTCGTCTGGAAAATGTAGCAGCGATAGACATTCATAAAAAACACAAGCTATACATTAATGTATTCGGCGGCCTGCTTGATCATCTGGGCTACCTGTTCCTGCCATCTAGATATTTCAACAAGTTATCTATTTTTGTTTGTTTTAATATATCATTATGTTTATTAATCGCACAACCTATTCTGCTGCGTTTCTGAAAAGTGTACAACCTTTCGTTGTCAAAGTTACAAAAAACTCAATAAGAGACAATGTGGTTGCTGGCAATATACAACGGAAAGAATGCACATTATTCAGATGTTCATTTAGTGAACTGTTAACATCTAACTGGCGATCACTCGATATTTATCGCCAGGACCGAGGAAGAAGAAACGGAAACTTGTTGAAATACTTTACGCTGAGAATTCTATATTGTACCAAAAATATAATATTGAATAAAGCTGATAATAATAATAAAAATAGTAAATAAAATGTATGGATCCTATTTCATTTAGTTTTAAAAGGTTGTACAATACAGAGAATAACATTCGTGTTAAACGTTAGCCATAGTTTTAAGTTAAAACCAACTTGAGGATTCTCTGAGGTTGATACACTAAGCAACAACTTTAGTAAAATAAAATGAATGCCAAAATATTCTCCTAATTAAAATAATAAACAAAACATTAAAATGTTAGTAACTTACGAGTACACAGGAAAAAAATACAACCGAAAGTATGTATCGATACGTGATATTCCAGAATAAATTGTACCACACAAGACTCCACCTCCAACAAGTACTAAGATGAATCCAATCACCGAGTTATAAGGAACACGACCAAGACAGCTCCCTTTATCTAATTTAAAATTAATTATCCTGATAACAGACAACTACATAAATATATTTGTCTATGTTTAAACACCAAGAGTAACCAGTGGTCTGATAATTTTTAAATGCTTTTTATGAACAGGAACAAAATTAGATGATAAAATTTGAAGAAATGTGCTGTACAGAACCAACACATTGGTTTTACACAACAAGGCTTTGAGGTGAATTCGAAAACTAGTTAGGTGCCACTTATCTTAAAAGAATAACGTGACAGTGCAAAAAGTAGAAACGTCAGTTGTTCCAGACTGATTTTTATAAACGCTGTCAAACAATTAACTTCAGAGCACAGAGATGACAAGTTTGTTACTATGTAGTACATCAACAGGTTAAAAATGCATTTGTCAATAGGATTGTCAATCAGAAAGCGTTACTGACAACACAATTGAACGTTTATTAAGCCAATTCACCGATATAACTAAGGTACAAAACAAATCACTATTTCATTTTGGATGTAACCACCCCGCTCCTATAAATACGTGAAGTCCAGATGGATGTGAAACCAGGAAAAAGCGTGTATTGCTTCAAAACGTCCATACGTAAAATCAAGAAATAAGAGCAGCAATCACTGTTTTGAGAACATTCTGGTACTATTAAATAGTTCAAAACAATTGTCTAGACGCGCTGGATCTAGTTTTGGTGCTGGTCGAGATTAATCAGCGAGTTGTTTCGGGAATCGTGATAGAACTCATGTATTTTACGGGATTAGACATCACATTTCAATTTTGAATAGTTATACAACTACCACCAACACAAACTGATTGGCGACGAGACCATTATTTATGGGCTTTTGAGCGGTGCTAAATGACCTTGTGGATATCCACCTACCAACCAGAACTAAATGTAGATTATAAACCAGTCTTAGTAATTAGGCTTAGAGTTTTCATCATGAATTAACACCAGCTGAAATGCCAAAAATCTTTAGCCAAGTGGATGGATGAACTTCACGCCAAACTCCCGGACGCTTTTGATATTATATACAATCGGTTTAGTCCAGTCCTTCGATGGAGCAAAAACATTATTTAACCGAGGTTGCGAATTAATAGAAAACCAACCCAGTTTTATAGCACCACTGTGTTCAATCATGATAGCAACACAAGGACTATAGTCTACAAAGATATTTACATTAAAATCAAAAGACCAACGACACTTTGAACAGCAACAAGACACATTTTCACCGGAAGGAAATTAGGTTTCAGTAATTGCCTCTCGTAAGACACCACAACATCAGTAATATAAAGACAGAGGTTTCGACGAAGCATGAAAGAGCGGAAAAGAGGACTAGAACTCTTAAAACGGTCATTTTTCGAGAACTAAAATCCACGGTGTACATATCAAAAGAGTATTTGGACAGTTACTAATATTTAAACCACTAAAGCCAACAATAAATAATCATAGATAAACAAAAATAACATGGAGAACTGACAAAAAGGGCTAGAATATCATTCACGAACCATCTAAGACAAAAATATTTTTCAGAATATAATCGCACACTTTATGAAGCGGACGTAGTAACTCACCCATCTAAAGGTCATTTGAGGCACAAGTAACGAAATTAGCGCCTTTAAATCCTGCCGATTTAAATTTGTTTATCACACCAAGGTATTAGGAATAACATGTTTCCAGCTATAATTACCCCGCTCTTATTTACTACGTTGTAGTTCCTTTTTAACTCATTTGTTGCTCAATTCTACGCTTTAAATTTTTCTAGGGAGTAATGATAAAACATTATGTCGAGGCACTGCCTAGGTGTTATGACAGTTCTCTTGGTGAATGCGAAGTAGTGTCGTGCTTGTCAATTTTTTCCACAATTGAAGGACCCCAGTTAGGAGGAAAGCGAAGGTAATTTTATAGAAAAATATAACGGGCAATCAATTCACGTAAAAATATATTTCTGTAGGTCTTCGAAATTGAAGCTGACCTCATTGGTTTTACTCGACGCATCTATCTGAAGGTGCTCGGCTACGCATCCGTACCAGATAACGAGTAATTACGACGTGCTATACATCTTATTCGACCGCTAACCAGTTTAGATTAAACGATTTCCGATATATCTACAGCCTTTCTAATGTGTTTTCGATCCTCTTCACATCTGACTTCTGATTTGACTGGGTTGGTATTCTTCGGCTATAAAGATGTTACTGGTAAAACCGTTGTGAAACTACGAATATCAGTAGCATCTTCAAGCTCATTCGTGTTTATTACCGGACGGATCTTCTCTGTAGCTCACTTTGATATCATATCATCGCGTTCAGTTGGAATGATGAAATTATGAGAACCGTAAATAAATTTTATCTCCCTGCTAACAACGTCTTAGCCTCAGATTAGGTAAGCTAAAGGCTTTCAAAAAAACTGAGTAAGGCCCATTATTTAGTATAAAAATCTCGCTTGCATTTCTAAAGAAACTTTTCGAAACAATGACCTCCTTAGGTTGTGAAACATTGTACAAAGGTTTTCCCGTTGAGTATAACAAGCGAAATACAATAAAACTTCTTTCAAACTGTTTTATTTGACGTCATAAATATGCCTTTAGATTTTCTCCTTGAGTGATATAATTTTTCGATCCCGGACGTGATTCAAAATGCATTCATATTTCTCCGCCCTCACTAACAAGACGGTAATTTTTCAACTTCCTTCAAGACTCGCTATTATTATTTAATTTTGTCGGAACTGGACACCATGTAATTATATTAAGTTCTTCTCCAACGGAACATTAAGGTATGACACACAACCGTCGATCACATTTACTGCTTGGCAGTTTGGTACAAACTGTTATTGAGTCTCTTATGGATATTTGTTTGACTTTATTCTGCTACAAATATTCTCGATGATTTTCATGTTCTTATCAATCATAACCCTTAAAAATCTCCATCATGAAGTGCATAGTTTTGTGCTAGAGGAACCGTTTGATAAATAGTACAGTCACTTTTGTACTTTCAGATATTATTAGTTTTTTTATTACAACATAGAACTTGTGTTTTGATATTGTTATACGTAGACAACCAAAAATGTATTACGTGAAATATACAAAAGAACGTAGTTTGTCATAGTTTATTAAATGTTGACGTGGTGAAAATTTTTCCTCATTCACACGAAATACTAAAAGTTATTGTAAGATCCATTTCGAATGTTATGTGTATGAAAATCCCTCCATGTATACACTTGAAGTTTGTTCCTACTGTTTCCTTTAGTTGTACATTTTGGTGGTGTTTTTGATTCCACTTGGTTTGGTAATAGTTTTGTTTTATTCTAGTTTTTATTTTCCTTACGCCTTTACTAAGTTTACATGTTTCTTGCTGCACTGCATTTATGTTACTTTACCTGGTACTTAGTCTTGGCGGCAGCCATATTGGGTTGCTCTTCCTTTTGATTTTGTTGCTTGTATTGACTGGGAATGTGAATTGAAGCACTGTTCCAGAATTGGAAACACTGTGTTATAAAGCAACCAATTATTATCTTTTGAACGGATCGGTGCGTGATCTATCCAAACAGGATAGAATAGCATTTATTTGTTGCGACTGGTAATTTTCTCTCATCCTTTTATCAAATTCCTAATTTATTGTAATTTCGATTTGATCGATTGAACAATTATTGGTTGAGTAGCTGGGCGGTCAGATTTGTTTAGGTAACAATGTACACTTAAATTTATAATGAATTTCAGAACTGTCATTTTATCCAAACACTTTGTTTTGGTTTCATCCGGGTAAGGACGCGTATCTAATCCACCGATACAGCTATTCTTCAGTCCAAACCTTAGTTTAGATATAACATTATTACAATAGGATCTCGAGTGAACACTGAAGACATATATATATATATATATATATATACCGAAGAGTTAGAATGCATGGTGCTCATGTTGTATTAAGCTGTGTCTTCCATGGAATGACAAGTGAAATAGATACCTAGAGTGTGCCATTAAAAAAAAGAGAGGATCTATTCGTTTACCCTGTGAATATTACAGAAAATCTATGATTCTGAGTTTATCTGAATAAAAATCTCGCCATGATCTTAGTTAATGAAACAAGTAAGGAAGCTGACTTATAACAGGAAGGTTTTGTTGAGGAGCATGGCTTAATTGCCTTTCCATTCTGAATTTGGTGAAAACATAGCTAACGAAAAGTTAAAAAATGCAACACGAGTTAAGCCCATTCCTGGTTTGGGTTCCATACATCCTAATAAGTGTATTTGAGTTCAAGCACCCAAGGACCTTGCTATTTCTAAGAATCTCGTACTCCACAACATCTTAGGCACAATGAAATAGAAGGCTTACCAGTCTTAAGTCAGAAGTAAGATATCTTAAGTGAAAATGGATTGGGGATTTTTTGCTAAAAAATAAATAATCAAATATTTGGAGCTGGATGTAAATAAATAATCTCAGTATAATTTAGCTGATTTGGTTTGCAACGTTTTATTCCTAAGGCCATATAGAAGCTTATCTCTACTTTTTCTAAACTTAAACGTACGAAACTGATATTTCATTTGTTTTTTTCAGTTTTTCATGTAAAGGCTAGTCTCAGTTTATCCGAACTCGTTTTTATCCACTCTTGCCCGTTTTTGTTGTACTGTTTTTCAACGATCTCAAGCTTTTGCTAGCATCTATAAAACAGTGTACGTCAATATGGTCATGAAAAATTCATACAAACGACCTGGATGCCGTCTTGCTGTTACGTCTGGCATGCAGTGTGACAACTGAAAAGATTAGTTCCATGAACCATTAACAGATCTCACAGCAAGTGTGATCATATTTGGGTATGTTCCATGTGCAACACGGATACTGAAATTTTGCTGAGTAACGTCATGTCCTATTGACAGGTCTGCGGAATAAGTTGTCGGCAAAATTGGAAAAAGAAAGTCATAAAACGAGTAGACAAACAAGAACGCGCAATGAAAACAAGAAGAGGGGTGTTGACAGCTCTACTATCGATGAAGCATGCAGTAGCACTAGTGATGACACGCTGAAACTCAGCACCGTCATAACGTCGACGGTTATGGACACCCTGAAGAGACTCGGGTCTCCCAGCACAGGGTCCCTGCATGCAACGGTTGTTCCCCAAAACTCTGTAGGTCATTGGACTCACGTCAACGGAGTTAAAAAGACCAGGCATCACCGTTTAAGTTAAACATCCCAAGTATTGTACGGAGACCAACTGGTGACTTAACCGCACAATTTAAACCCAGGAATGTCCATCCGGTCATCCAAGAGCCTAGGAGTCGGAAACACGCTTCGACCTCCAAACAACAAGTTGCTCAAGCTGAACGCGCCGGAAAACCTGGGAAAACAACAACGGTTCGTGACGACTCTCTCATAATCATGAACCTTAAAGACGACCCTGACCTCCCCCTCAGTTAGCAGGACAAAAATGACAGGATGCTCTGGGGAGAGTTAAACAAGGAGCTACAACTTCCCAGACTACAGCCTTTGACGGCCACGCGGCTCATTCGTGAAAAGGAGTCTAAGCATCAAAACCCACCGACGCTACCTGGTGTAGTACTCATATCCTACTAGTTAGTCACTTACTGGAATAAAATATGAACTCAAGAATACTGCCTGACATGCCATGTTCTGAGCGCAATCTCATCCGGAACATCCCTAAGGAATCTTGCAAGTTTTTCGGTGGAAGAAATATCATTGTGCAAAGCGTACCGAAAACGCCGACCCCGATCAAACGAACTCTGATATTAGGCAATGGAAATTCATCAAACAATCACTGAAGCTCAAAAACATATTGACTCAACATGTGACGAGACTAGCCAAGAAGGGCGGAGATTCTAGACCCCGGCTAATGAACATAACTTTCCCATCCGCCTGTATGGCAGCTATAACTCTGGAATTATTTCGTGCCAACAGACGTCTGTTGCCAAGTGGAATCCATGTGTATTTGGATATGCCACATGACGCCAGGATCAAGCACAAAGGCATGTTGTAGCCGATCATTCCATTTGTGGACTGTCTTGATAAAAAAACGTACAAAGGACAGGGGCTATCGACTCGAAAAACCTTGTATAGGTAGGCTACCTGTTCATTCACGTAAGGCTCATACAGACAAACAGGAGGGAGAGGCTTACGCGTTTCAAATTGAAATCATTAAATGCTTAAACATGAACGATGCGAGTCTACCAAATAAAATGGATGAGCTATGTGAATTAGCAATACTGTTAATGCTCATCTGATTGGAATATCTGAAACTCGGTTATCTTCTCAGTTTGAGGACCAGGAGCTAGCAATACCTGAGATACCTTTGTTTCACAACGATAGAAAAACAAGAGTTAGGAGTGGAGTAGCTTTATACATACGATCATGCCTGAAGGTACACTAAGTTTACAACCAGGAGTTTATCAATCTTGATGAATTCACATAGTGCTCAGTAAGATTGCCACAACCTCGTGGTGTCTATTTGGGATCACCTACATGAAGCCCACTGCGGACATCGTGTATGACAATAGTATGCTGGAAGGAATCTCGAATTTACTCATATCCTGATTCTAGGGGACTTCAATCTTCCTAAAGTCAGTTTCGTGGAACATACGTATATTGGG